GTTGTATTCTTACAATGTGGGACAAAAATAGTTGTGTTCGTTAGTAGTTTAGTGAGCACTATAGGAACATAACACAAACTTTTTTAACGTACTTGTAGCTGGCCAGCTAATTAAAGACAGTAAAAGCTGTGTTCTGAATCCAAAAAAATAAAGAAAAAACTGCATTCTGTTTTTCTTTGTTTTGCCGCGTATTTTCATGAAACGTCGATATGACATAATATATAAAACCTAAATTTTTAATTAAAATTACTACGTTTTAAACCCAGCAATATGGGAAAAAATACGAGTTCCGATTCGTCCACTAGGAAGAATATTTGCAACTTTCATAATAAGGATTGGTCATACAGAAAAATAGCTAACCACTTGAACTGTTCTAAGGACATAGTTATGAATGCTATAAACATTAATTGAAGATATTCAACACGACCGAAAACGTACCAAGAAAACCGAGACCAAGAAAAACTACTCTGCGGCAAGACTCTGAGATGGTGTTGTTGGCAAAAATATCCGTTCAAGGGATCAGAACTAATACGTTGAGAGTTGTTTGGTGCAGGAGGGTCGAAGAGTATGTAATTAGACGGAGACTATGTGAGGCAAACTTGTACGGAAGAGTGTCTCGGAAGGTGCCACTTTTAAAAAAGGAAAATGTTAAGGCAAGATTGGCATTTGCTAAAAAATATGTACAATGGACTGAACGAGAATGGAAACATGTGTTTTTCTCTGATGAAAAAAAATATGATTAATTCTGACGGAAAAGAATATGTTAGACGCCCCCCCATCCGAAAAAAGTAATGGATCCAAAGTATACCAAGAAAGTAGTTAAACATGGAGGCGGAAATATTAAAGTTTGGGGCTGTTTCTCAGGACTTGGTGTTGGACCTGTCAAGAAAAGAGAAGGCAACATGGATAAATTTCAGTACAAGAATATTTTAGAACAAGCCATGCTGCCCTATGCCGAACAAAATTTTCCGGTCATTTGGACTTTCCAACAGGATAATGATCTGAAACACACTGCAAAAGTAATAAAAAACTTTAAGGAACCAGTCTGTGACAGTTTTGGATTGGCCCCCGTACAGTCCTGATTTAAACCCAATAGAAATTTTGTGGTATCAGGTGAAGAAGACAGTGGCGACAAAACGGACATCAAACATCGATCAACTTCACACAGCTTTTAGAGAAGCTTGGAAGCAAATTCAGGCTTGTAAAAAATTGATCGCTTCCATGCCCAAGAGATGTCGTGCTGTCATTTCTGCCAAAGGACATGCGACCAAATATTGATACGTACCGGAAAGTTTTATAAATGTGTTAGAAATATTGTGTAATAATAGTTATTTATTATACAAGAGTGGAAAGTTCCTTTTTAACCGCGTGCTCGATTTGGATGACCGAGCAAGCGAAGGATTCTAAAGTTGAATCACGAGCGCAGCGAGTGATTCTAAATTAGAATCCTGAGCGTCAGCGAGGGAAACAAACGAGCACAAGGTGAAAAATCTTTCCACTCGAGTGCAATACGTAACTTTTCATCCCACCTCAGCGAGGAAATGACAAAATGAAAAAGAAAACAATTTATAATGACAAAATATTTAAGCAATAAAACGTGAAAAACTAGAATGGCGCGAAGCACGCAAATAAAACAAAGAAACCAAGAAGGTTCCAAATTTAAATTTTTTCACAATTTAAAAAGTTCTAATCATAAATTTGGCACCATAGAGGTTACATTAAATAGGTTTAATGACGTTTTGAATTTACAATTATATTGAGTACTCATTATATGTGATGTTCTAAATTCAAATCTACTTTGCCGCTCAAGCGAATAAAATAGAATTTTCCAGCCAGATTTCGAAGCGCAAAATTACACTTTCCGAGGTGGTGGGATGAAAAGATAATTTCAATAATAACAATATTTTTTTCTATTTTTTCTAAGCAAATCGAGTGTCTTTAATTAGCTGGCCAGCTATAAATACGTTAAAAAAGTTTTTGTTACGTTCCCATAGTGAGCAGTATCTAAACTACTAACGAATATAACTATTTTTTGTCCCACATTGTAGGAATACAACGTCGTGTATGGTTTAATAACAATTAAACTGGATTCAATACCAATTTTAGCTAATGTTAGTACTATAAGTAAGATTTTTGTAGTTAATTAGGGGGTGTCTTTAATTATGAGACCACCACTGTATACTTTTCGTAACTTTAGTATTGGAGTCAAAATTAACCCTGAAATAACAAACTTAAAACATGAGCAGATTAAACTCTCTCGAACTTCTTGTTTCTCGTAGCAGTGCTACGAATGTCGACGTGGCATTTCGAGATGTAGCATCGTAGATCGTAGCGTTACTTACGCAAAACTTTCCAATAATAATTTTTTTTTTAAATATTCAAGAGTTTTATTGATTAATTTTTATAATATCACTTTTCTAATCTAATGTAGTCTATCTAAGTCTAATTTATTTATCTTATGTTACCTAACGAGAATAATTGATTTATTATTTTTTTAATATTAAAGGCACGCTTGCACTAAAGCTCTTAGATAAAATTTAAAAGAAAAATATAGTTAAGGTTCATTCTATCTCTATTCGACTTTAAACAAAAAAAATATAGAATTATATGATAACAAGGTATGATAATCCAATAATAAATAAGCCTTCATTTGAATTACGCATGTTGGGTGTCCTAAATGTTAACCTAAATCGTTAATTTATTCAGAAGATACTTGACTTTTTCTGAATAAAGTCTGTTGAGATGTTTCAGATATTGTTTTATTCCATTTCATTAAAATAATACATACGTCATTGAATACCAAACAATATTTATGCATATCCTTTTTTTTAATTGAAGATTTATCGGAACTGTTAATTTATTTAACAGATTAAGCTTGACTTTTTTCTAAATTGAGACGTGCCAGACAGTGTATTAATCGGGAGCTATCAACATCGTTAGGCCGATGGCGCCGCGTGGCCGCCGCCGGGTGTCGACGGCCCGGCGCCTAGCGAACACGCCTATCAACCCATCGACGCTCACATACCTATCTGAATAAGATTATATATCTGAACAAGATATAACAGAAGTACATTCTTAATATTAAATTAAAAAACAGAAGCTGGAAAATGGGTACCTCACGTAAACAGAGGTAGGGAATAGCGGATTTTTCGCTTGAATTAGAGCGCTCGTCTAGGGAAGTAACTTCCACCTTATAGAAGATCACAGTAAAATAACACTACCTTTTGGTGGTGTTGTATTTCTGTCGAGTAAGAGCGGCCATAGACAACGATGACTTGAAGTTGCCATTGATAACTGCTCGAGCAGTCCATTCCGACTGGAAATTGGGTGCAACGACCACACCCGCACTCCCGGCGCGCATTGGGGGGACCTCGGTCCCCAGAATGCGTGGTTTTTAGTGGCATTGTCTGGTTTTTAGTGGCTCTGTTCAGGGCTATAGGTAGGGTTCTGCTCATTTCCCTGCTCATTTTATCCAGCCCAAGGGCTGGGAAATGAGCAGGGAGGAATCCCACATACCTTCTCCTCGCTCCGCCGGTGGTTGAAGGATGCGTAAGCTAATTAATGGTATCTGGTAATTCCCAGACACAAAAAAAAGTCCATCCCGACTGCTTTAAACTGCTAAGGTTCCAGGGCTCCACGGGGTAGGAGATTGGGTCCGGATCCTGGCGCGAGTGATGTTTTTGATATCGCAACCGTCGGGACACACTTTTAATATACAAAAATAAATAGTGGAAAAAAGGGTAGTCTTTTCATGCATAATGTTAAGTGCAAGTTAAACTCGCACAAAAAGAGTATTATTGCAGGCAAATATCACTTACTCGAACAACAATATAATAAAAATATGGTGTTTTACAGGTTTTCAATGGTATTCAGTACTTATATTTTGTTTCTGAACGACTTTAAAAAGGAGAAGGTCTCACCTCACCTCACCTTCTGTCGCTGAACAAGGTGAACACGCTAATTCCGTTATCTTCCTATAATACAATTATTTAAAAATCATGCTTACATTTAACAATCATAAATATAATCTTATGATAAAATAAACGGAATAAACAAAGTTGTTCCTTCTTGACTAAGTTTAATATTTATTAACATTAGTTCGTTCAGGTTTGCATTTTTCATTAGGTTGGCCGACACGCAAATCAAAATAACATAAAATTTAAGTATGACGTATTAATCGAAATGGAAACGTAAAAATGAAGTTGAACACACTTTCATATCTAAAAATATTTAAGAAGCCTTTTGACGTGACAACGTCTTAAATTAGGTTGCGGCTGGGAGTCACTTATGAAAAAGTGTAACGCTCGGTAACGTTACGATGAGTTTAAGTTTACATGTACAATGTTTTAGTAAACAAAATATATTTCTATAGTTAAAATTTGTGCAATTCTTATTTTCATTCAATTCCTTGTTCCTATTGTGCAATTTAATTATATTCATATCAATAAATATTCTACCGAGAAAAAGACGTAGTCACGTAAAATCTTCGCCCGTAAAACCGACTTTACAGGCAACCATTTTTTTATAGATATTTACTAAGTGATTGAAATACATAACTATGGTCACAGTTGTATAATATTGCATTAGTTTTATCCATATGTTTAATAAAATTTTAAAGCGGTTCACCTAACGCTTCCTTTTTTTGCAAAATTGTTCGATGAATTTAAATTTAAGATTGGAAAGTAATCAAACCTAATTTTCAAGCTCTTATTTTCCTTAAGTTGTTCTAGATTATACTAAAATAATGGGTGTCAGCGACTTCGTCTGCGAGGTTTAATTGTTTTCTCATATAAACTTGTAAATCCTTTTCACCCTCTTATATAACAATTTCTGCGTTCAAAACCATTCTTTATCGTTACACGGGACGGCTATCAGTTCAGTGGTTTAAGCGTAAAGAGAAAATAGACAGACATACACACTTTCGCAGTTATAATATTTGGAAATATGGATTTGGTGTAGCCTATGTTTCCATTTTTTTATTTAGGTTTTCTTTGTTTCAGTAAAATGCCCCAGTGGGCCAGCGGAGAAGGGGGTGGCTCAGAAGCAGAGTCTCCGGGCAAAATTATGGTCTTCTATGATGAAGCTTCAGAGTATTACGACAACAAAATTGACGTTGGCGTTAAAATAGAGCCAGCGGGAGGTGAGTGCGAATAAAAATGAGACGAACATAAGTACAACAGACCGTGTTAAATGGCCGATCTTTATTATTATCTGGAGCATATTCTACATAATATCATCTACAAACTGCTAGGTGATTATGGTTACGCTGATTTAGTTATACGTTGAAGAGAGATAGGGCATAGCGGTTTTTCATGCTCGAATTGGAGCACCAGGCTGGAAAAGTCACCTCCAACTTACAGAAGACTAACAGTAAAATAACTCTACCTGTTGGTAGTGTTGTGTCTGTTGATGAGTAAGATTCCAGAGCCCCACGGAGTAGGACACTTGCACAATAATTCACATTCTACAGGAGCACCTATTTCTATGGGCGTGCCCCAAGGTTCAATATTGGGCCCATTGCTTTTCCTTATTTATATCAATGACCTTCCTCACTTTACAAGAGAATTGTGTGAGACAGTACTATTTGCTGATGACACCTCTTAAGTGTTTAAAGCTAGAAGAGGAAATGATTGTTATGACGAAGTAAGTTGTGCTGTCTCTGAAGTCCTTCATTGGTTTACGGTAAATAATTTAAAACTGAACTCCAGTAAACAAAATGTGTTAAGTTTACTGTACCTTATGTGAGGCAGGTTAATAAAAGGTATAAAAATAAATGTAGAATTAGTGGACTCTACAAAGTTTCTGGGTATTACTTTAGACTCGCATCTGAAACGGGATCCTCATATTGATGCCTTATCAAGTAGATTGAGCTCTGCAGCTACCACTGTTAAAAAAATAAGACTTTTATCTGATGTGGAAACGGCAAGATTGATTTACTTTGATTACTTTCATAGCGTTATGTCATATGACCTGTTGTTGTGGCGCTCAGCTGCTAATATCGAAAGTATTTTAATACTGCAGAAGAGAGCTGTTCCCGCCATATTCAAGTTAAAGACAAAAGAATCCCTTTGAGAAAAGTTTAAACAAATTAATATTTTAACACTGGCATCGCAATACATTTATGAAAAATAATATACGTCAGAAACCACTATGACGCATTTGCAAAAAAAGTGAAACACATAACTTTAACAAGAGATTTAAGTAGAAGCTTGCCGTTCCATGTTTCAGACTCCAAAAATCAAGAGGTTCATTTCTGGGTTGTAGTATTGCATTGTTTAATAAACTTCTATATACTAAATATAAAGTTAACTATAAAATTTATTGTAACTATATATTCTAAATCATGTAATGGAAGGTGACTTTAGAAGTACAACAGGGGGAGGAAAAAAACAGCCCTTGCTGAGTTTCTTGCCGGTTCTTCTCAGTGCAAGGTGTCCCGCCGTAGTTTTTGCGAACCGATGGCGTAGCTTCTTGACCTTCACAAGTGCTTGTAACAACCTAGACTGAATATATGATTTTTGACTTTGATTTATCGATTTCGATTGTACAAGCCTTCATCGTGCTTTGTATTGTTTAATAGAAATGTCACGGTATACTAACAAACAGGTTTTTTTCATGGGTTAATGCACTGTCTTTTCTGGAGCTAAGTAGGTTCTACCAACCTAGTAGGGCCTACCAACCAACAATAGCAAATATTGTTAAATGGGTGATCGCAAAATAAAACATATTTATAAATTTCCACTCTAATTTGTTAAATTTTAGAAAATCTGAACAATTGTCGTGTCCTGATTAAAACATGAAATGCCTGGCCCAGTTCTATTCCTGTTTCTAACAATTATTCTGCTACGAACTGGGATAGGAATTTAATTGCAGTTTACAGCATCACAGTCCTTCGATAGAAATCACAATCAAAACTATTTCATTCACCAGAGATATCAGAAAATCAGCACAGTGTAGGCATAATTAAAGACGATTATCTTCAAGGCTAAAGAAATATAAACGGCATGAATATTATGATACATTTCGCACATTGGTTCGAGTAGTAATTAAAATATTATTGTTGAATACATACATCAATAGGCACGAAGCAGATAAGCGAATTGCGAAAATCGTCCGTAGCCGTGCATTGAAATCGATTAGTCTGCACTTGCGCTTACGCAAAGTAGTTTATCAAGCGTGCTGTGGCATCACGTAATAGAGTTTCGAAGCTGAGAGTTGCACAAAATTGAACGTTCTCCAGGCAACGTCTCGTGCACTGCGTTGTTTAAAATTCGTGACGGAACTGTGAGGCGCGGGCGCTGCGGGTGACGTACTCGCAACCGTATCCAGTAATAAAATACCTCACATCACGTACTGTACTTGATTTCACTTCATTTATGGAAGTACTTAATTATTCATTGACAATTTAATGATATAAAGAAACTTTTTTTTATTATTAAAGGTTTAAGTGCATTTGATCACAATCGCACCTGATATTACGCGCATTATTTGAATTCTTAGCTGAAGCACGCAAACTCAAATAATGCCTATTTACTCTTGCCTTGAAGGTCCCTATATTAAATGAATCGGGGAATACAGACGCAGGGAGGCAGTTCCATTTCGTAGCGGTACGCATGATAAAGGAGAATGCGAATCGTGAGGAAACTATCGTAATTATAACATTACTTAAGTCATTATTACAGCAGTCTACTTGCGTAATGAAATATCTAAAAATGTATATTAAAATTTGGTACTTCTATATGTAAAACCAACCATATTTACTTAGAATTTTGTGTGTTACTATTATAATTTTGTTTTATTACTGCATTCAATTTTCTTGCGGTATTTATCAGAGGGAAACCTCTAACATAGAGATGTTAGAGGTGTCCCTACAATAATTTCGAGAGATCACGTGAATCTCACTGTGTTGTATTATTGTAAGTAATATAGGTACCTATAAGTTCTACCATGATATTGTTGTGAATTACAGAGTTCTACGACAGCGGCAGCGGTAGCAGTGGTAGCGACGAGCAGGTGCGCCGGATTGCCCGTCCCAGGCGGGCCGCGTCCGGATCCCCACCGAGCTCGACGACGAGCAACACCGTCACGGGGCCGGGCCGCCGGCGAAGATGCGCTGTGTCAGCGCGCGAACGGAACATCCGCCGCCTCGAGAGCAACGAGCGCGAGCGCATGAGGATGCACTCACTTAATCGCGCATTTGAGGTACATACTCGTTTTTCTCTCTCATTTTTAACCAAGAGAGTTACATCTCTCATGTAACACTCAGCTCGCCCAACCGACCAACATTTTATCTTTTCTTATACTGAATAGGAAAAAGTTTAAACAAACTATCTAAGTACTTACTTACTACGTACTAGGATTTTTTCTAGTGTAGCTGTAGAACTGGTGGAAATTAATACCTGGAAATAAAATACATAAGTAATAAAATAAATAAATAAATAAAAATACAATAAATATAAGTTTTGTTGATATAAAATTACGACATACCTATATAATTTTATGGTTCTACCGTTCTACCAATTGCAATGATAATAATCTGTATCTATTAAGTCTTTCAACATATTCTTACTCCTATTAAAAACTAGCTGTAATAATGTATGTGCCTGCTTACGCAATCGTACAACCTCGATTTGGAACATTCAATATAAAATTCATATAGGTAACGTTACTTTAACACACTTACATGGTTGCAAGTACATACATAATCAGAGACTAAATTATGTCATAAATTAAATTGCTTACTAGTTTTACAACGTATAGAAATTCTGATTTACGAACATGAAGATAGAAATGGAGATGAATTATTACTTAAAATAAGCGGGTATGTATAGATAATTAGTACTGAAGGGTGCAAATCTTTAAACGATCATGATTTTTATTGTAAGGTTAACACATATCTCCATTACAATTACATAATGAGCTGCTAAATAAGGAATATGTTACGGACCTACTTTTGTGCAAAATTCAATTGTAAAAATAGTAGGTACCTATCTACGCAAGAAATCAACCACTAAATAAAACCACTCAGTTAACGTTTACTGCCTGTGCAGCAGTAGGTACCAGTATTCGTTACTAACTGGCAATTTTCATGGTTGGCATTTCAACGCCAAAATTATCTTGGTTTCAACCAAGATAAACTGCTATTAAAACAAACAGTAACAAGCCCCCCTTTAACTATTTAAGATTTCTATGTTATTTATGAAGTTTTAATATAAAACTTTAATAAGCAGAAGCGACTATAGTTTGTTTTTCGTGTAGAAAATCATTCGCCTAACTTTTTTCTTTTCTCATATTTTTCAGGAGTTGCGCCGAGTAATACCTCATGTCAAAAAAGATAACAGGAGCTTGTCTAAAATTGAAACATTAACACTGGCCAAAAACTACGTTAAGGCTTTAACTAATGCAATTTGTACAATGAGAGGGGAAAATCCACGATATCAGTAAGTTGAAACTTAACAATATTGATTAAACTTTTACCTGAAAAGTAGTATCATGTCACTTTCAGAAAAAAAAATAAGTTAATTTCTAGCTACTGTTATATTAAGGCATTTTGATGCATAATTATATGAAAAACAATACATAGTATCTTAATCTTTCAGCATGAATTTCAATTATAATTGTGGACCCCACAAACAAAAAACAGATATTTTTAAGGAGAAACTTCAGGCTCTGTCTGATGATACATAATTTTCGTTGCAGATTTACTACTGAAGATGAGAACGTGGAGCCTTCTTTCGTGCTAAGCCGTGAACAGGAGCAGAACAATAACATGATGGAAGAAGATCGTGAGGTTGATCCGGTAGCCGTGCCGGACAACTTCTGACCTCGGCGCAGCGCCCGTCTCGGACGATTCGTTGTCAACGATTGCGCCGCCTGCTATAAGGACGACGCTAAACGCCACTAAACCGAAAAAAAAACAAGTGACACCAGCCCCACTACGTAACGACTTTCCATTTCAAGTGCGATTTGTTAAAACCACGTTTAGTATTGCTGCATCCGAATGATGCCATTATTTTTGTAATCGACTTTTGAGAGTTAAAAACGGTTTAGGTAAAAGTATATTGGTATTAATCTTTTTGTACGATGTAATAACTAATTTTAGTCTTACCTATATAATTCAAAGAATCAGATTGATTTTGATCAACTTTTCTGTACAATAATCAGAGCTATTTTCTTTAACGAGTAGGCACGTTAAAAATGCTGGTTTGTTAGATCTCATTAATTAATTTTCCACGGTTAATCAAATTGCAAGGGATCATGTTTGTTCGTACGCGCGCGTACGGTAGCGGTAGCGTATTAATATAGATTAAATAGAAAGCCACTAAATTTTATATAAATTATTTTGTGATCATTTGTTTTGCGTAGAGATTTATTTTTGGTTCGTTTCTTTTGTTTATGTTTATAAATGTTATGTAAAATAATAGATGTATTAAATTATTGTTGGTAGAAGAAAATTAATTTTATGTAAATAAACTGAAAATGTTAAAATAACTCGGAAATTCGTAGATCTTTCTGGATATTTCTATATAGGTTAATAAGGAATATTATATCAAGTGTGTGTTTATAGGATTTCGATTTATTTTTAAACAATAATTTTATTGCATCAATTGTCGACTGTATAATCATTGGAATAAGTTCCATTTAAAATGTGATTCATATTTTTCATGCATTTTATATCATTACTTTCAAGATATTTGTTTATTTACAATTCATTACATAGTATGAACTGGCACTGAAAATATTTTTCATAATCTTAATTACTTATTTACAAACATAGTGGGCGCTTCTCAGTACCTGCTCAAAAAAAGTTTTGTAGTAATGTTGTAACAAGTTCACATCGTTACATACACCAAGCTGAAAAATATTAATTCCTAGACATTACATTAGTAAAGATAAAAAGGGTATACCTATAGTAATAGGTGTATAGTATTGCGAACCGATGGCGTAGCTTCTTGACTAGACTGAATAAATGAATTTTCATTAACACCATCATAGCTAGGGTATAAATGTTTGTGTTTATCACACAAACGAATACCTATCACTGCCAGAATTCGAACCCAGGACCTTTCAGGATCGTTGTGCTTGCACTATCCAACTATTAACAAAAGTATCTTAGATGATGCTACGATTCAACACAGCTCATAAACTCTTTACTGGTGTGTGTAATGTTATGTAAATATTTAACTACTGCTTGAATTCTGAAGCACAAGCACGAACTTTGTCCGATCCGTAATCATATCGAAACTTAGATTAAAACAAAAAGGGAAGATACGGTACGCTCATACTAGCATCAAATAAAATATGATCCGACTCAACTACTTACAACTCTCCCACACGCACACGTCTGTAAATAACATTCAATCGAACGAGCGAGGCAGAACTGCAGGCCAATTATGCTCGTTCATTGTAATATTGTTTTGATGTCAATTTCACATTACGTATTATGCTCTCCGAAAAAATGCGATATCAAAATGATATCATCTAGACATCTACTTATGCGTATTATGATCAAGTCTTTAAATGATATCTACTTGATATCACCTTAAATGCGTATTACTTCAACTTTTTGACTTAAAACAGTATCGCATAAACGTCAAAAATGTGATACAGGATATGATATTGATATGATCTTGATGTGACATAGGAATGTTTCATAATACCATTTAAAAACAATGCCAACTTGGCATCAACATCATATTGACATCACATTAGGATTATATCACTAAAGCTTAATTGACCCGCTGTACGCTTCAACTCAGAACGAGCAAAACGGCGAATCCGCTTCCGAGTGTGAACGGCTGAGCTGTATTGTTTTCCCTTTCTTGATTACAAAATTCCGATTACGTAAATAACATTCACGACAAACCGTGATTTTTGAAAAAAAAAATATTTTACAGTTTTACGAATGGGAAGTGTTGCCGAGGCATTTATTATTTGATTTTGAACTTTGATTTTTTTTTGATTTTTGTGTTCTTTTTAAAAGCATCTAAGGCATTGTTTTATATTTTTAACACAGAATATACGCAATATTGTTATGTTGAGTGCACATGCAGCGTGTTTGAATGTCCATTGTGACTACAGCGAATTGTGATCGTCCACAACAAGTCCACAACAATTTAAGCGGATCACTTTTTGTTCGTACATCTGGTAGGGGCGCTGCTAAGTTTTCATAGAAACTTTGACAATATGATACGATTACGGTAACCCCTGGCACACAAATTCGAATCGTTTGCGAGTCCGAAATGTCATTGTCAAATGTGTATTGATTTTTAACACATTTGACAATGACATTTCGTACTCGCAAACGATTCGAATTCGATATTGGTTCGTGCTAAGGGTACGGAGCAGTCAAAAGTTCGTGCTTCGGCCTGAGAACTCTAGTAGTTACAATCATCACTATATTAAATTCAGTGAAAATACAAAAAAAAAATGTTATTTGAAGCACAATATTATCTAGTATTGTAGTATTTTTTGAATACTTATATGTTTTATATAAACTCATGGTGCCAAAATAATGTTAATATGTACCAAATAAATCGTAGGTAATTTTGCGGGTAGGTAAATAACCTAGGTACCTACAAATATTCTGTCACATAACATCATTTAAAAATATATATGATGAAACATAAGTAGCCTTAAAATTTCATTTCCCTTCTAAAAATTAACAAAAACGTTAAAGTTGTTACACATGTGTATCACGCTATATTTATTCTTAACAAAATAGGTATTAATTTTAACGAATTATTTAATAAATACAATTAAATAATATTATGAAAATGTTTATTTTATTAAATATTTGAATATAAAGATCTTTACAAGATAAATCTGCTGTCAATTGAGTTTCAATTAAGAACTTAATTAAATTATTGTACAGTATAAGTAGGTACTCGTACTTCCGTAAATATGTATTGATATACTTTATATGGATTTTATCATCTAATGTTACTCTGGGTAGGAGTATAAAAATGAAAAATGTTTTTATTTAGGTAGGTAGTCTATCTTGAAACGAAATCTCACGCTGTAGCTACCATCCATGGAATTCATTACTGTTATTTAGAATTTATTAGGAAACTAATGAGTCATTAGTTTAATTTCAAGAAGCAGGTATGCTTTACTTCCGTTGGAAAGCCGGAAAATATACAAATATTTTATGGAAAACAACCTTGAAAACATTATAAACCATAAAGTAGCGCAAACATTTGTAGGCACCACTTAAGTGAAGGTAGTAGTAGAAGATTGATTTATTGGTGTTCATTTATATCCTTTAAGAAATTGCTATGTAATAGCAGTGATGAGTGTTCTTGTTATTAATAAACATATACATATGACAAACGTAATAACTGTCTAGATTATTTTTGTTTGTTTGTTGACTTTTATTTCCCTACTAAGTACTAAGTACTAAACAATAAACTGTGTCGCTCAGAGTCGGCCAGGTCGCTGTACATACTAGCAGGCACGCACACATTCACACAATAGTCAGCCACTACGCGTGCAAACGTCAAAGCAGCCGACACGTTACGTGGAGATAAAAAAGGTAAATTTAAAAATCAAAAAACCCGACTGCTTAATTATACTTCAAATAAAAACTGAAAAGAAAAAAACAAGTCCAGTAGTCTATAATTCTGTTAATAAGGAACAAAGCTACTTTAACAGTCGGGACCCATTAGATATTCAAGAATACATAATATTTTTCAACAGTTTTAAATTTACCTTTTTTATTTCACACTTTTTAGTTAGTTAGTATTTTAAGACGGTATATACCGTAGTCTTGTTACTTCAGTAAGGGAATTAATAACGCGGGAATTATTAAGTACCTTGCGTCGGTCTAAAAGATTGATTAATTAAGACATATAAAGACTTTACCCGCGGGGTCAAGGCTACAGATGGGCCTCAATTTTCGCAAAAATGTGTGAAGTTAAATCATTTCGTTACATAAATATCTCTAATGTATGTAAAGTTTATAGTAAACTAGCACTTACTCAAAAAGTCATCTTTTGTTTATGTTTTTTTTTAATAGTTTAGCAGTAAATATAAAATTCATTTACTTTTATTCGTCGACTATTTAAAATTGGCAGTGGCTGCATTGTCATGTCAATGCCGGACGTCTAAGATTGTGATATACACAAATTCAGTGTCAATCCCTAGTCTCATAATTTGATATACCTACATAATGCACAGAAAGCCAATATGTAGATGCCAGAAGTTAACTTCAAATGTTTTTAATCACCCTATATACAATACCAATCAATGACGTTTATGTCACAGGTTGAAGAAAGCAGTAACTCACGTCTGTTGTTTTGGACAATGGTGGCAACTGCCTTAGATCACTAAATTAAATAATTATGCAATCACCAAAGCAAAGTTTATAATATTTGATTAAACTAAAGGCGCATAATAAAATTTTCATAACGTTAGGTAGAGCACCATAGCAATGTCATTTATTATCAATTTATAGTTCTCTTTGTAGTTTTCTTTTAAAGCGTTCACATTTAACAGGTCAAAGACTTTGTGTTCGACCCTTTTTTATTGGTAGTGTAAAGCTCGAATGAAGAGTACTCCCAGTAGTGCAATCATGGCAATTATTTTCCAATTGTTTTTTTGTTATAAAAATACCGAATAACGTATCACTGTTAAGCACAAATGCTAAGTAACTTTTACAAAGATAATCAAATAAACCTATTACTTACTTTATTTTTAAATCTTTTTCATCAATTAAATACTTATCTTATCCTAACTATCTATACTAATATTATAAAAAGGCAAGATTTGTATGTTTGTAACAAATAATCTGTCAAACTACTGAATCGGTTTCAAATATTAATTCATCATAAGGTAGCTACATTATTTATTATAACATTTTTCTTTATTTAAATACATTTTGTCCGAGTGACATAGGCTATATTTTATCCCGATAAATAAATTTCGCCCGTACAATGCCCGGGTGAATCACTAGTAAGTATAATATAATATTATAGATGCGAAAGTGAGTTTGTTTGTTGCGCTTCCGTGCCCTAATAGCTAAATCGAATATAATGAATTGCCATATAGAAGTAGATGGGAACTTGGTTCTTAGCTACAACATCGCAATACTTATAGGCGTAGGGTGATGAAAGGGGTGATTTACCTATAAAAATCTACATTATTTACTTTGAATTTTGCAGAATTATTACAAAACCAATATTATCGCGAGCTGATTAATAAATACAGGGATTCCAATAAGTATGTACTTACTAGCGAAAAATGGGTTATTTGTCATTATATTAAGTAAACATTTTTTGTAACATTAAGTAATATCGTTAAAAAAAATTAAAAACAGTAAAATTCTGAGTTTTCATTAAAATTCAATAATCATAAATACCTATTATGATAATATATTTTTCATCATTCAATAAGAAGGAACTGTATCACAGTTTTATTGTTAGTACTTCGTATAGGATCAGATACTGCGAATACCCCATTTTTTTTCTTTTACATAGTACACCGCGCTATCACTTTGTCATCGTTGTAACTTTTTAAATATTTGTCGAAATGACATATTGTAAAAAACAAAGTTTATCGTCTTTAAATATTAAAAGCGATAAAAGTATTTGTTTTGATAAAACATGATTTGTTAATACAAAATGTGCATTTTGGAAATAGATATCAAATAATATTTTAGTTTTGATTCACTATTTTAGCGGTAATGACTTACACATTAAAAATAGATATATGGTGTCATGGACTTTTTTTTAGAACTATTTAAGAGATACATTTTCACTCTACATTACATTCATGTAACTTTTATTGTTTTTGCAGTGCAGGCCACAATGGCTCGCAAATGGGAGATTTTTTTCCGTCTTATGTGAAACTTTTTGTTATATATTGGCCAATTCACTCAATAACTACATAAATTATTATATATATGTAATTATCATATATGAGCTATATTACTGTTAAGTTTCATTAAAATCCATTCAGTATTTTTTTGGTGAAAGAGCAACAAAAATCCATACAAACGTAAGATTGAAATTAAAAGCGTAAGTGGTTATTATACAACTTTAAAGCGTTGTAGATCCTAAACAATCATATAAAATGAAAAATGGTGTTAGGAACCTAAATATGATTTTTGATTATCTAGACAGTGATACCCCACTCGACATATTTTGTCAACTTATTTTTTTTACTTCGTCACAATATGGCGCCTAATTTTGACCATACTGAATTTTGATTACTATCATATGTTTAGTAGCACTCCCATGATTGAGACGAATCGATTGATGTATGAATCATCAAAATCGGTCCAGGCGTTTGGTCTCTAGTGTGCCACAAAGGAACAAACATACATATATAGACTGTTAAACACATAACCCTGTCTGCGCGTCGCGCTTCGCGCTCTTGCATTGCGCAGCCGGGTAAAAAATAAGCTAAACAAGATATCTTGCTTGTAAAAAGGTGTAAAAACCGTAGTGACCGAAAGAAAAAAAATCCAGGAATCACGTTTCATAGGTAAATGAATAATTGAATCACTTTTTTCTAGTTTTTAGAAATCGAAATCAATTTTAATTCTAAGGACAAAATGATTAGTCTAAAGCCCAGTGTTGCCAATGTTCATGTAACCATATTACCTAAAATATGGGAAATTGGGTTGACATTAACTTCAGTCTATTATTTATTATTCTTTTTTATCAGATTTCCTAAAGAAAATGTAGTATGGAGAAATTACTGGAAAATGAATGATTTCCAAACAAATATGTTGTAGTGTCATTTTTAGTCTTCATTTTGAAGCTCAAGACTTATATACAACTAAAGGAGGACTCCGGCGTGTTATTACGTATGCATTACCTCAAAAGGTTGATTAAAATTTTTAACCGACTTCGAAAAGAAATAAGTTCGCAATGCGTCATATTTGTTTTTTTTAATGTTGTTCGCGCAGATCTCCGAGATTCGTGGACCGTTTATGATGATTCTTATTTTGTTTTAATCAGTTTACTAGCGAGATGGCTGCATATTAATTTACTGGACATCTGATGAGTACTTTTGGAGGAAAACAATGGAACTCCTCAATTACAAACAGTATTCAATGGGTGTTACTTTATTTTAAGAAATATGAAAGAGAATGCAGGCCAGGCCATGTATATTTAGTTGATTTACCCAATATTGAGAAAAATCGAAACATTCTAGAATTTCTAATGAGTCCCGACTGTTAAAGTAACTTTGCTCCTTATTAAACAGAATTCTAGACTACTGGACTTGTTTTTTTCTTATTAGCACATTTTTTTTTATTTTTGACATTTTAATTTCATTATTTTTTAATTACACGAGTTGTATATTTTCTAAATATTCTTTTAAAACCCTTTACTTTGATACCTCGCTTGACGGGTTATAAAAATACTTATACTTTTTTTTTTCAAAATGTTTCATTTTGGCGCATAAAATCTGTTATTTTGATTTTTGAAATTTTAATATACCTAGTGCCACTCACACAATCACGACAAATCAAATGACACCTCGCATGTCAAAATCCGTCAAGACGTTCAGGCTGTAGGGCGTGCCAAATTATTGGACATACATACATACATGCATACATACGCTCGAAAAACATTATCCTCCGCAGTCGGGCAAAAAGTAAAATTTTGAACAATCAAAATATTTTCATGTTTTTACTGTGTTTTATTGGTAAAAAATTGGCTAACCTAGCAACCCTACAATTCACTCACTCATCAATAGCCGCCGCCATTACGGTGCCTCAGTATTGTCTTAGCCGGAACTCTGTCCGCCTTTTTTTATACGTCCATGTCCCGCGACTTCATCCACGTTATACTTAGTTGCTTTTTTGAGAATATCACAAGAAGAACCTTACCTTTTTTCTAGGCGAAAAAGTATTCTATGTCACAATCAAGTTTATAAAACCGAATTACATCCAAATACGTTCAGTTGTTTAACGGGTTCTTATAACAAACATACAAACACTACCAACTATCGAATCCTCAACATCACAATATAACATAACCCAGCATCAACTTAATGTAATAAATTGAATAGTATAGGAAAAAAATGTAATAAATAAATTAGTTTTTTTTTTAATTTATACTACTAGAGGGATAGGATAACAGTTATATATAATTTCAATAGTGGTACAGTAGTATGAAGTAGACTCAACTCCACCGGCTGCACTCGTTCATGAACCAGCCATCGCTTCGTTCAATTACCTATATTTAAAGGAAATATTTGAAATAGTCATTTATATTTAAGTTGTGGAAAAGAACTCGCGAGAGAACTTGCAAAACATTAACGAAATAACGACAGACGAAATTGAGTTAGAAAGCTATGTTGTTACAGCGTCAATTCATTTTTTGTTTTTGAAGTTATACTTCTTTAGGCGCGTTATGAAAAAATGATGAGAGTGAAATTTTAAGATACGCGCGCATCACTGTAACACAAAATTTTACCGCATGAAGTTGGTCGCTTTAGCTACCAACTTCATGCGTTACTTTTGTGTTTACCGCACATTAAGAAAATCTACCAACAAAATAGAAATAGAATCTCTATTTAGTGGGTGCTAACGACTGCATTGTGAAGGCCTATCAAAAGTATTTATTAATCTGGAACAACGGAACCAAAGCGCGATTCAGGAGACTACAGCGCCATCTCTTGACCATTGGTGTAGTAGAACCAAAAACCACATCTTTATTTTTTGTAATAAAGTAACAGTTATAGGTATTCATATTTATAATATCAAAAGTATTTATTAATCTGGAACAACGGAACCAAAGCGCGATTCAGGAGACTACAGCGCCATCTCTTGACCATTGGTGTAGTAGAACCAAAAACCACATCTTTATTTTTTGTAATAAAGTAACAGTTATAGGTATTCATATTTATAATATTTATCCACATGTTTCTAGTTTGTATATTCGGAATACGTGTTTGAGTTTCATACAAGTGCAAATCACATATGTTCTGATAAATTATATTCAGTAGCGATTTTAATTGAATATTTTGATTATTTATTTATTTTTTCAAATTAAAACTGAACTTTATTGACTGTGTCCTTTTCCAGACTTTTTATTAATTTATTGTAATTAATTATTTGCATGCAATTAAAAACTAATTTTAAACGATGCCAAAGAAGGATAACTTCTCACGCGCCTACATAAGTACACGCACCCATTTTTTTTGTACCGTGTCCAATAGTAGGTACCTAGAATCCATAAAGTTATTATACTGTCCTATACATTCAGTTAATGGTATGTACAACCATGCATGACAATATAAAGAGTGCCCAAATGTTAAATATTGATTTTGAAAATTAAGTAGCGCTAAGCAGACTTATCTTAGGATCTCCATGGCGCAAGTGGTTAGGGAGTTCGACTGCGGTCGTTGAAGTTAAACAACTTTCGTAGTGGTCGGTCATTGAATGAGTGGTCAAAAGGCACGTTAGCCGTTGGTCCCGGCTGCAGCCGCAGTTGATAGCACCCATCAATCCTCACCGGGCCCGTATGATGGCCCAATCATCCCTATTCCTTCAATAGGGAAAGCCTGTACCCCAGCAGTGGGGACATTAATAGGATGATAATGAAGCAGACTTAGGTATCCCCGTTATCCATCATCTTCCACATTATCCATATCCCTACTGGCAACATTAGTTCTCGAGCATGACGAATGGACCAGCTATAGACTTCACTCAATTTTAATATATGAGGTCGGAGTCAACGTAAAGACTCACCTCAAACGACACCACCACCGAGATTAAGTATAGAGAGAGTAATAGTACTACCCAACTGTGGAAAATAGTAAAGAAAAACTGGATACACGCATAATATAAGCTTATCCCAGCTTAGAATAATAATTTACTTCCTATTTTTATTCTATGCATCCCACTTTAAGATAAAGTCGTACATCTTTGGTTCTAACTTAAAAATTAATTGGTACTACCTGATAGGAAACTGAATACTTGAACGAAGAATCTCGCTAGACTGTAACTAAATCCTATGTCCATGATTGATGAAGAAATGTGTTCTATCAAAGACATCGAATATTATAAATTCCCTCCTTAGGCGGAGTGGTTTCTTATTGTTATTAAAATTTAATTAGAAAAATCTATCAGTTGCTGACAATAAAATATTGTAAAGTGTTATGTCTTTAGCACATCGTTAATTTTCAAACACAAGTATCTACTGTAATATTAAGAGGATTGATTCTTAGTAGGCATAAGTATTCTGAGGCCGAAGCACGAATTATCGTCATCTCGTTTAAAGCTAGTTTGTTGTAACGCCGTCTTATTAGCAGTACCCGTTACTGCTTAGTTTATATAGAAACCATAGAAACTTTGACGATGCGATACGATTACGGAGCTGTCAAAATTCGTGCTTGGACCTCTGTACCCTTAGAATGAACCAATATCGAATTCGACAATGACATTTCGCACTCGCAAACTATTAGAATATTAGGGTAATGCTAAGGGTATTGATTGATACTTGAATTTTCTGGATCCTTGCTTTTTCTTTAACAGGCCAACTTGAAAAATGTATCGGTCGGTCGGGTCGTTGACTATAAAGTAAGATCGGACCATAGAGTCCAGCAAAACCACCACAGAGTATATATATTTTATTAAGTTCAAGTAATACCAGCGCAAATAAGTACCACCCTATAACAAGGTAATATTTATGTGACATATTTATTATAGATTGTGAAAAAATGGGATCTTCCGCCGAATTGGATCATATGCCTGACAAATTATCTTGCCTTACGAAAAACTGCACTAGGTACTGTTGTTAATTAACATTTTCATAATGCTAGTAGTCAAGAAAAAGGGTGCATGTTGTCACAATCAATCAGCTACCTCTGTGTTTCAAAACCTCATAAGCTGGCTTTTGACCATTAATGCGAGGTATTCGACACTATGGTGAGATTTTGTATTTTCAATAATAATATATTATTATATATTTTATTTCAGACCACGTCCAAAATTTTGTTAGTTACTTTTATCTTATCTGGGTTGGAACATATTACCTTATTACTTACTTATTATTACTAACTTAATGAATTTGTATGCCCATAGCGGCACGACATGTTATGCACCCATAAAATCATAACATCTTACTTACACATGTTGTTCAAATAAATATTTTCTTTCTTTCTTTCTTTTATTTGTAAAATAAGTAATTCATATAAATGTAAGTACTACTTCGATTTTCTACAGGATAAATAAATCAAAAACCTTTGACATTTGTGAGTGAGTTGCTATCACAAAATAGAAATATCCCAATCACGAATGAACGATCTTGGAGGAGAATTCTTCAATCCTCGTGTTCATTTGCGTGTGTAGCTGAATTTTGATTATCGAGTTTCTTCGATTTTTTGTGTAAGAAAATACGTTTATGTGTTTTTCAGTTACAGCATATTACTAACGAAAGTTGGAACGTTGTAAAATAGAATTAAATACATCAAGTTACACCCAAATTACAGAGTTCGCCCAAATAGAGATCTGCGTCTATCGCAATATGGCCGTCCTCTAATGATTCGGTGGTCAGTGATATTATTGTGATTTCATCTTCTACAAAATAGCAAAATGGAGCTGCGTGTCGGTAATAAATACCGACTTGGCCGTAAAATAGGCTCGGGATCCTTTGGAGATATTTATCTGGGTGAGTTTGTTGAGAAATGCTTGTAAACAAAGAAAGATTGTAACTATTGTAGGCCAGCTGCGACTTTTTGTTTCGAAATTGCTGTTTTTTTGTGTCACTTGATTTATAAATAATGACTGCTCTTATTAAGATTCTCAAATTGAGTAGGTATAATCGGAATAATAACGATTAACAAAATTTCTATACTGTTGGTATGAAACCAATACTTTTGGAATGTATATGCATTGCCATTATGTACCTAGTTGCTTCTTCGTTTTTCCCCATTGCAGATTTTTGCTTTTTTCGCTTAAGTAAACTAACACAGTAATGATGAGTTTATCTATAACATGGTTTCCATTCATAACTTTTTTCTAATATTGATTTCCAGGTACTAATATTGTAACCAGAGAGGAGGTAGCTATTAAATTAGAATGTATAAAAACGAGACACCCACAGTTACACATAGAGAGTAAATTTTACAAAGTTATGCAAGGAGGTGGTAAGTAGTTTTTATTAATAAAATAAGTTAGAAACATTGTTATTTTATATGGCCAAAACCTTATCAGAGGTGCTTATATATTTGATAGATTAGTTACATCAGTTTAAAATCTATAGCCTTCACCTTATTGCCACAGTTGGTTTGTATAGTGCTAAGTTAGCAGACACGCTAAATGGATTGCTATTGATCTCTTTTTAATCATTCTGCTAAAGGTTTAGGAGTAATTTCTCTGATAGAGAAGAAACATTATCACAACTCAATACAAATCGAATTTTACATTATCTATAATTCATTGCATTTGCCATAAAAGCAAAGGGCTCTGGTTTGATTCCAGTCTAATAAAACTTTTAAACTAACTTGTAGTGACAAGTTAATTAACAATTTGCTGCCATATTACTAAATAATAAAAATGATTTAGACTTCTGAACAATTTTTCATTTGCCATTACTATATTTAATCTAAATTAATTTTTATTTAAACTTTTATGCTATACAATATAATGAATAAATAAATATCTTCAAAACAATCACACCTATTAGCCTAGCCCCAACGTAAGCACTGTAGGCAAATGTTATGGGATACTAGGGAATAGAATACATATACTGATATATATATAAGAATATTTCTATAGAAATACATATGAAACATCCATGACTTGTGTACAAATGCTCATATTATTAAAACAAACATCGGCCCCCACTGGGACTCAAACCCGGGATCCCTCGAGTAGGACATACCTTGAAACCTGGCATACAAACCACTTGGCCACAGACGTCATCAATAAAGTAATCATTCATTCAATTTTCATAATTCATAAATATAGGATTTGTAGTTATATGGGATTAAGCAATTACCACTTTCAAATTTGATATTGCAGTTGGTATTCCTGAAATAAAATGGTGTGGATCAGAGGGAGACTACAATGTGATGGTAATGGAGCTGCTTGGCCCTTCATTGGAAGATCTTTTTAACTTCTGTTCACGACGTTTCTCTCTTAAAACAGTGCTGCTTCTTGCGGACCAACTCATTACTAGAATTCAGGATATACATTACAGAAGCTTTATCCATAGGTATGTCACCTGTATTTATATTAGATAATTTTGGAATATTTATTTTATCAATAAGATTTTACGAATGTAGCTGTCAGAGATACAGAGATCTTTAAGCTTACATTTTGTCTCAGTAATTATAAAATTTATGTTACAGAGATATCAAACCGGATAACTTTCTTATGGGATTAGGTAAAAAAGGCAATTTAGTATATATTATAGATTTTGGTTTAGCAAAGAAGTACAAAGACCCACGGACATTGCAACATATTTCATACAAAGAAAACAAAAATTTAACTGGTAAATATGTTTTTTTTTTACTTTATATTATTTATTCCTAATAATATGCTTGTAAGCGCCAAGATTTTACTGAAACAGAACATCATACAAAATACATTTTACTTATTTATTAGACGCACTAGTGCTTCATTAGAAACTTTGCTTATGCAATTTAAGATTGAAAATATGATATCATAGAATAAAAGCATTACTTTCATTCTATGATGTCATATTTTTGACAAAATAGGCAGAAATATACTAAAACTAATAGAGTTTTATATCTGAAACCATTGTTTGTGATTTTAGAAATTTCACATACAACACATTAAATTTATTAAAGGTAGATTTTAGACTTACCAATGTCATTTATAATTTCAGGTACAGCGAGATATGCTTCAGTGAATACTCATTTAGGCATTGAACAATCTCGTCGAGATGATTTGGAGTCTTTGGGCTATGTTTTAATGTACTTCAATCGTGGCAGTCTCCCTTGGCAGGGTCTTAAAGCAGTAACTAAGCGCCAAAAATATGAGAGAATATCTGAAAAGAAACTATCGACACCATTTGATGAACTTTGTAAAGTAAGAAATAATTTATTTGATTTTTAAGTGATTAGGGTGCAGCTTTTGGTACTAGTTAGCTTTATATTTTTATCTATATATATCTTATTAAAAAGCTAGCAGTTTACTAAGCATATTGCTCTATTATTATATTGTTAGAATATCAAAATAAATGCATACACATTTATTGTAAAATTTGTAATAATGAAGCCACTCTTACAAATTACACTTTAGTATTTGGTATTTTAGGCATTTGAAGTGGCCACAAGAAACAAAATTTAGTTGATTGATTTTGAACTATTTTGATTACTAATCAATTCCCTAGCTTCATGATGATTATTTTATTTGGAAAACTATTTTTATACTACTAACAATTAGAAATAATTAAGAAACTAACACCATTAAGGCGTTTTCACATATGACTGACATTAAAAAGCTCACCGTTGAAACTATACAAGCAGTCTTAAAGTGAAAATACATGAAAGTAAAAAGACTAAGAATAATTGAAATACTGTAGTTAGCAATGCTTTTAGTAGGCATTTCAGCTAAGGTTTTTTTTTATATATGTGTGGTTTAGTTAAAAATGAGTCTAATTTGGGGGAAAGTGACTAGTTTATTAATTTCCTTTACATACCTTACGAATAAATAGTTTCGTCTGTAATTACCACATTGAGAAACATCTAACTTACACTGATACTTGACTTTGTTTTTGTTTTGTGCTTTAAAATGATCTTTAAAATGCTTGTTTTATTTTATACTGCTTTTGTCAGATTCTCTGTTTTTGCTATTTGTAAACTGGATACCATCCTGTCCTTTTCATTCCTTATAAAGCATGATAGGACAGAGTGTTGTCTAGTTTACAAAAGCAAACACGAATAGCCAAGTGAAGTGCGGGCATTAGGTTTAATTATAGCTATTAACGGGATTGTTACCATGTACCTTGTTTTTTATGACTCTCCGATATTTCGGCACTGTTGCAAGCGCCATGATCACGGAGTAACTACTCGGGTTACTCCGTGATCATGGCGCTTGCAACAGTGCCGAAATATCGGAGACTCATAAAAAACAAGGTACATGGTAACAATCCCGTTAATAGCTATAATGTTAGTGACCATGAAAGTTTAAAACAATATATTAGGTTTAATAGTCAAGAAGAATGTAAATTTACAAATAGTGGTTTTTATCAGCATAATTTACCTAGCATTTATTTATAAATATATTGCGGCTTAGTTGCTGCAAAGCAGTTTCTGACGAAAGTTTGATTGAATTAAGATAGTGCAGACCACACAAAATGAGCTTTATGGTATTTATTAAGTAATGATAAACCTGCGAGGTATACTATTATGTGGGTAGAACTGTATTAATCAAAGTTTTTTCTTTTTGTTTTAGAACCATCCAATTGAGTTCCAGCGATACTTAAAGTATTGCCGGCGTCTACGCTTCGAGGAGCGTCCAGACTACGCGCATTTGCGCCAACTGTTCCGTTCCCTCTTCCACAGACAAGGATTTACTTATGACTACGTGTTTGATTGGAACATGCTTAAATTTGGTATGAGCCTATTATGTTATAGGTATTTATTTATTTATAAAACTATTGACTACAAAAATCAGTACAAAAGGCGAACTTATTGCTAAAGCATTCTCTGCCAGTCAACCTTTTGAAAAAATGATATTATGCTGGGATTCCACGCGTATTTGTATTTTAAGCAAAATAAAATTGTAGAGATTGTTAATGAATTTCGTAGTTTTTACAAATGTCAAATACAAGTAACCATCTGTAGTATGTCACTCTCATTGCTGTGAATACATTATCATGAGAATTAATATTTATATTCTGTAATAATTTGTTATCATATATTTGTTTATAGGTGGACAACGTGGCAATTATCAATCTGGTGGCAGTGACCGCACACTCAGACACCATGAACAACCTCAGGAACAGGAAAATAGTATGTAAACTTAACATAATTTGCATGAACATTTTCCTTCTATCTTAAACTCTATTATTATAAGTTATAGCTAATTACTTTGATGATTTGTCATATTTGCGATAGTTTAGTAAACAAATATATGCATCTTATTACATTGGTTTACTAAATTTTGCATGTGTCTATGTTTTTCCCTTAAAACCCTTGCCTGATAAAGTTTCACGAGGCATAATAGTCACGATGGACTAGAATGTGTTTGTTCATTCAAACACATAAACTGCGGGTTTGAATCTCGGCTAATATTACAAGGACGGCGGCGTTAGTTTCAATTTACGCCACCTTCATTCATATCCTTGTCCCACTGTGCTTTTGATAATCTACCTGATACACGAAGAAAAAATGGTATGTCATTATCTCTATTGACCTCAACTCATTAGCAGGCAATCCACTACCGTTTATTGCTGCTGAAATCTATAATACGGATTATAGATGCTGGCGGGAATGAGTGTTAGTGGATGACCAGCTATTTTCCACACAGATGAAGTATCGAGCACCCACCCACTTTAGTCTGTCCATTCATTAATTATCTTTTTGACAGATGACGCCCATGAGATTTTGTATTGTATACGTTAAAATGTCATACAAATAGTATTGTACTTCATGGGCGGGTACCGCCCACTTAGTGATATGCCACACATAATGATTACTAAGATTGTGCCACAGATTACAAATAATCGGTAGAAATAAATGAGTACAACTAGAAATAAATGAGTAAAAAGTCAAAGATATAATATAAAACCTATTTTAAATGTAATTATTAATTATAATCAATAAATCTAATTGTACAGAGTAGTAGTATTAGGATAAACAAACATATAAAAAGCAGTAAACATATTGTAGATAAATCAGACACAGAACTACTCATGCTCATCACACAAATATTTGTATTAGGCAAAATAATAAATCTAATGAGATTTTGTAATGATTTATTAAACACCAGTATTTTTGATAACTAAAATAATATCCATACTTATAATCAATGAAACAATGTTATAGCATAATATAGATTATAGCTTTAAATCGAACGAGTTATGTGATAGGGTTTCACTATTTTGACTTCGATCGATGTGTCATAAAGATAATAAATGAATGGACAGAGGAGTTTTTGGCGGGATTTCATCGAGTGCGGTTGGCGTCTTATTTTAATTATTCTTAAATATGTTCATAGTGGATATTGTGAAATAAAAATGGTGTGATTTTGTATTACAACGGACTGCACAACTGAAGAATTAGTGGAATCTTTAAAATATACGCTATGCCGGTCAAGAGGACGTGAGAACTTTATTGTAGTATTGACTACCTCACAGAAGCTTATCGAAAAAGCCAACTCGATATATTTCGTGCCAAACACTCCAAGAAACATTAGAATGCGTCACACCCACATTCTAATGTAAAAAAAAAGGAAGATTAATATAAAAATAAGACGATGGCCGCATGGCTTTGCCTTTCTCAATAGAGAAGAATAGAACTAAAAAAAATGAATGGACAGACAATGCAGAATTGGTGTTTTTGGGGGACTTTAATGCTCACCACAATTTGTGGTTAAGTTCCTCGAAAACTGACCATGCAGGGATCTCTGCTCACGCGTTCGCTCTCACGCATGACTTGGAGCAACTGGTTGATCAGCCCACCAGGATTCCAGATATTTCAAGTCAAGCGCCTTCATTGCTGGACCTTCTGCTCACGACCCATCCACAGGGCTATCAGGTTGTGGTAGGAGCCCCCCTGGGCTCTTCAGATCACTGCCTGATATCTGCCAAAGCGCCACAGGCCAAACCTCCGCGTCCAACGGTGGTAAAACGCCGGATCTGGCACTATGGGTCAGCAGATTGGGACGGTATGCGTGACTACTTTGCGTCCGTCCCTTGGAAGCAGCGCTGCTTCAATGACAAGGACCTATCGGCCAGCGCCGTTGCTATTACTGAGGAGATTGTAATGGGTATGGAATACTATATTCCTCATTCCAATCTCATCAGTAAGGGCACACGTAACCTCTGGTTCAATCACGACTGTGCTGAAGCTGCTTCGCGTAAGCAAGCGGCATATCGTGCTTGGATCAGAGGCCGCGCTCTTAAGGATCCCGGGGTCGATTCACTAAAAGCAGCCTACAATATTGCTTCCAAGGCCTGTAAGAAGGCATACATCAGAGCGGATGCCCAGCGCGTTGCACGTGTTGGTCACGAACTTATAACGCATCCTACGGGCTCCCGTAGCTATTGGCGTTTGGCCAAGGCCGTGCAAAAGAACTTCTGCCAGCCCTCGCTGCCACCTCTGAGATGTCCAGACGGAACACTAGCTCATAAGCCGCAGGAGAAAGCCGATTTACTGGCAAAACTCTTTGCGGCTAACTCCCGAATCGATGATTGCAATGCACTGCCACCATTATTACCTCATTGTGGCACAACGATGCCTGATATCAAAATCAGGCAGCGTGAGGTTCGTGCCGAATTGCAATCACTCGACGTCCGGAAAGCTAGGGGACCTGATGGCATCCCAGCAGTAGTATTGAAAAAATGTGCAGCGGAGTTGTCTCCCGTGCTCACGCGTTTGTACCAGTGCTCGTATTCTTTGGGGCGTGTGCCGGAGACTTGGAGAAATGCTAACATGCAACCGGTACCCAAAAAAGGGGATCGCTCAGACCCGGCAAACTACCGGCCAATAGCAGTCACCTCAGTATTATGTAAAGTCCTAGAAAAGGTCCTTAACAACCATCTGACCCGCTACCTAGAGGATCACTCCCTGATTAATGATCGTCAATATGGTTTTAGACCGAAACGATCGACGGGTGATCTTCTAGCGTACTTGACTCATATCTGGGGTGAGGCTATCGACAAGCGGGGCGAGTCGTTGGCTATCAGCCTAGACATTGCCAAGGCATTCGACAGGGTCTGGCACAAAAGCCTTCTCTCCAAGCTTCCGGCATACGGTCTGCCGGCCCAGTTCTGTTCTTGGGTAGCTGACTTCCTGCATGAGCGTAGAATTCGTGTCCTTACGGATGGTAGCAGTTCGCGGTTCATGTCAGTGAATGCCGGCGTTCCCCAGGGCTCCGTCCTATCCCCCATTCTCTTTCTGCTGCATATCAATGACCTAATTCCTCTTGGGAATATTCATTGCTATGCAGACGACAGTACAGTGCATGCGGGGTATCTCGGACAAGCAGCGGCTGGGCAGGCGGTAACCAAGGAGAAACGGGAGAATCTTGTCATTGAACTCAATCAGGCTTTGGACCACATTTCTGAATGGGGTACCAAGAACTTGGTTGAGTTCAATGCTAAGAAAACCCAAGTCTGCGCTTTCACGGCAAAAAAGTCGCCATTCCTTTTATGTCCTTCTCTTCAGGGCACAACACTGGAGCTAGAGAGCAGTATCACCATGCTCGGTATGGAGATTCGCTGTGACTTAAATCCAAAAAATTACATCGAAAGTGTGATAAAAACAGCCTCACGCAAACTCGGAGTCCTGAACAAGGTGCGGCGTTTTTTCACGCCCGAGCAACTATGCTTGTTATATTAGACGCAGGTTCGGTCTTGCGTGGAATATTGCTCGCACCTCTGGGATGGCTCCGCCAAGTACTTGCTCGATGCTTTGGATAGGTTACAGCGGCGCGCAATACGCATCATAGGTGATGAGGAGGTGTCTAAACACCTCGAGCCTCTTCAATTACGCCGTGACGTGGCGTCACTAAGCGCGTTCTATCGTCTGTACCACGGCGAGTGTTCTGAGGAGTTATTCTCTCTTATTCCACCTTCCCCTTTCCTTCAGAGGACCACGCGCGCTGGCTTACGTTGTCACCGTCTAATTGTGGCTACAATTCCAACGCGTACAAAGAAATTTGGTGACTCATTTCTTTGTCGTACTATCCGTAAATGGAATGCTCTGCCCGCTCACGTGTTCCCTCCCTCTTACAACCTGGGATCCTTTAAAAGAGGCGTGAAGAAGCAACATGCAGGCCGGCAGGGTGAGGATGGCTGGTGTGGCAGGTAGAACTGCTGTATCAGCTATCTTCGCGTCTGGACTTCACCTCCACTTAACATCAGGTGGGGTGGAGTCATTTGTCGGACCTATCTATAAAAAAAAAAAAAAAAAAAAGACTAAATGTATAATGAGTAATTTGATTGTTACAGCGGGCGGAGCGGGCGCGGGCGTGGGCGTGAGCGCAGGGGTGGGGGCGGGCGCGGGGGTGGCGGGTGGTGCGGGCGGGGCGGGGGGCGCGAGCGGGGCGGGCGCGGCGCTCGCGGCGCTCACCGAGTGGCGGTGAGGCAGCCGCTGACGCTCGCCTAACGCTCGTGTATTGTAAATTATTGCAGAGGTCGCTGCCCACTGTACATACCGCGCCTGCCGTTCTGTAACGACGCCGCGCGCGAACCAAACTCAACGGCGTCCCGCGCAATTTGTATCGGGCGCGAAAAGCGATACGTTCCACTGTGACCACTGAAACTTCTATGTTGATGCAGTGAGGTACAGAGGCCCTAGCACGAATTTTGGACAGCACCGTAACGTATCGCATCGCCAAAGTTTCTATGAAAGCTAAGCAGCGCCCCTATACACGAATAAACATCTCTATGTATGCGATACCGTACTGTCACCGCACTATTGACGTACACTGCGATCCAAACTCAGCGGCGGCTGCGTAGTTCGCGCAATTCGTATCTGACACAAAAAGCGATACGTTCCACTGTGACCACTGAAACATCTATTTAGTACCGTGACACCGCGCTGTGAACGTTCACTGCGATCCAAATTCAATGGCGAACATGGGCGTAACTAGGAACTCTTCTTAGGGGGGCCAGCCGTCCGTCAGTTAAACTTACATTTATTTATTTATTTCAACTTAATTGCACAAATGTACAAAAGGCGGACTTTATGCCTTTAGGCATTCTCTCCCAGTCAACCAGAGCATTGTAGCCAAGTTTTAGAATGTGGTGCAAAAATAAATTTCTAGTTGATTTTTCAATTAAATTAACCTACAAGTAGGTTAATTACTACATACAATATATAATAATATAAATCTATTTACACACATAAACTACATATATAATAATACATATGTTCATGCATACAAATCTATATTATTTTAAGAGGAATCCAGATGTTCACGTACCCGACGCTTAAAAGACAGTTTGTTTGTGGCATCCTGAATATGAGGAAGGAGTGCATTCCAGATTCGTATAGCTTGAAGAGAAAAACAGTTAGAAACAAATCCAGTACATTAATTCTGAAATAAATTGATTAATGAAAACAATTGAAATATAGCGTGGACAATGAGGTTTTACAGGTAGAAGTTGCCCAACACTAGTTACACTGATGATGGCGGCTGTGAAGTTCGCGCAAGTTTGATTCAGCATTGTTGTGTTTGCTGGCAACTTCACGACGGCCCTAAAGTTTGGATCGCACTATATGGGACACGGAAAGAGACACGATACGCTGCACTGTGCCACTGAAACAACTACGTATGCATGTATGCAACATGCAACTAGAATCCGTTCTATAACTTGCTGGATCGGTTCATACTGATGTCGTGATTATATTATTATACGCTGTTAAACCAATTTGCAAAACAATTTCGCTGCTAACGCGTAGCGGCTTGGCAACGTCGCACGCCATGCAAGGAACGTATAAGCTCCGGAAAAATGTTACTACTTGGTCCAGTAAACGTTCAGAGTATTTTCCTGCGCATACGTCGGTACGGTTACGATTATTATATGGTACGGTATAGTGGGCAGACACCATTAGCGTAAGCGACGCCCGTCAAACGTTCGATCGATGTGAGCGCGCGTCCGTTGCACTTCATGCTCAGTTGTATTTAGATTAGAGTGATATGCGAATCGCGCCTTAAATCGCGTTTTCGATGACGTAACCGCCCTTTGCCGAATCTAACTGTAGCCTACTTGCGCTTTTCGAGTCGATTTCTTTTAAAAGTCGCGTCGCCTCAGTGGCGTCCGTCGCGTCAATATCTCGATATTCAGTTCACGTGTACATAATTATCTGGCTAACGATTTAGTTAAACTCGTCGGAGGGCGGCTTGTAATTTTTGATTCTATCGAAAATTTTAGTGCATTTGATATTGCCATTTCGTTATTCGAATTTGTACCTACTTACTCGACTGTGACTAATGATGATTATTTCATGGCCGGTTTTTTTTTGTTTATAAATAAATAAGTATGGAACGTCTTGTGCAATAATAATAGTTTCATTTTCTTTATCTTTCCTCATTTGCAAAAGTGAGAATGGTCTTTGAATATAATGTCTTCCATGAAAAGTTATGGGTTGATATTAATTGAAACATGTTGATGTGAATAAATAATTCAGGCTCGTTTGAAATGTTTGCCAGTGTATAATCGAATTTTGATATTCAGCCACTGCCATAGTTTTAACTAGGTAAGTTTGCTACAGATAAAATTAGGAATATCATCTTAAAAATTTACCTCGACAAGGAATTGGGAACTTTCATCTTGGTGGGTGGGTAGTAAATTCTGTGCAACATATATTATATGTATGGTATTCACCGATTTTAGAAAGACACATTCCCTAAGTGTTTTTTCCATTTTCTTCTATACTTTTTCTGTGTATGCTAACTATGATCTCGTATTATTGACCAAATTGTCACTTTTGTAATTTATATGACTAGCTGAGTTATGTCAACAAATTGGTTACCATTTCCATATTCCAATGAACACAAAGATTAATTATAATAAATGCGACCATCAATTGTTCTTTTTATTTATTATACGAAACACTTTTTTTCTTTGGGGTATGTAATTGTGTTTGTGAATATGTATTACAACTTAGAAAATTAGTGCTTCTTTTTATATTCAAACAGCATTGTGTAAAATCTATTGTTTAACTAATTCACTCTCTTAATATGACTGAGAATTAGGTTCAATCTTGTATAAATATTTTAAGGATTGCTTTGTAAGAACTATAACAATGTATGTAATTGAATCATCTCATTGTCACGATTAAGCATAAAGGATTTATGTTTTGTATATTTAATTTAGTAAATTTCATTGAGAAGATACGATGATGTAAGTTTGTTTAAAAATAAATTATATTTAAGTATATTCTCTTTGCCCATTTTATTGTATGACAGCACTGTATTAATTTTATATAAATCAACAAGTTGTATTAATCGACAGGGTATATTGTAGCATTTGGAAGTCATCAAAGATTAAATTAACGGTCTTTGCTACATTTAGCACTAAAACAATATCTTTGTTGTTTTTATTCGATTATTTTATTTCGATGCAATTACTTATCAATCTGTAATATTAAAAAGATTTTTATATAAATGTATTACTAATTCTTATGAAGTTGATTTAGGTAAGTTTGTTATAGTGATTTTTGTGTCCAATCGTTGGATAAGTGTTATGTCGGCGCGGACGGACGCGACGCTTCGGTGTGAATGAAGAAACAGCCCTGTGTTCGTGTTCGATGTGTTGAGTGTCCCAATATGTATCTCAAAAACGCTTCTGACGTGGAATGGTCGTGGCTTGCTCCTAAGATAAGTGTATGCTCTAATCGACGAAAGACTTTATGGACTTAATTTTGTATATAATAAATTGTAAGGTACTTAGATAAACCGACACTGTTTTTTACAATATCCTAGGTAAAAGGAAGATAAATAAAAATACATTATTGTTGTAGAGTTAATGCCACTCAGATTATTTGCTGTTATTCTACGGATACCCATTTTTTTTAATGAGACCAGTCTTGTGTAGTTGCATGTTGCATACAGATTGATATTTCTGCTTACTGAGATCGTGACGTCCCCTTCGGTATCGTCATTTTACTCGTGATGGCGGAGGGAACGAAGCACTTTGTAGTTGTAGAATGAATATAAGGGATAAAGTAAAAGATCATCAACTTTTATTGGATACCGTAAATTCTAAATTTAAGTAAGTTTTTTAACGCGTTTGTTCCCTCCTGTGTATGAGTAAATTGCGCTAACATTGTGGGAAAAGTTATTGTTCTAGTAATATCACTGTTACATTTAGTTTACCTTAACATGGTATATTTTCACTTTTAACATACATTCTATGCTAGGCTACCGTAGCATAATATGCATTATATATAAATTGTTATGCTTGCATTGTTTCCTATGTCCAGTATGTATTAATTCCTTTGGCACAATAAACTGAGTAAAATAAAACTAGATATTTATTCGCATTTTTATATTTTCGTATTTCTAAGTGGCAAGAAATCCTCCATCTACTGGCAATTGAACTCCAGATATCATGCTAGCTCCATTACTCAACAGGAACATAATGACATTGACAACTTCATGAACTTCTCCAAATCTGCGAAAATAATAAATTCTTAGTTTTTGATATGAAAAAATAATAATTGTCAAATCAATGGGACAACTATTAAAATACATTGGCAAGATAGGCGAGACTTGTGAGCTATACCCTCAAGATAGTCCAGTCAGTATTGTCGCGAAATCCGTTTTTCCTCAAACAGCTGGAACTATGCTAAAAAGTTTCTTAAGATAGTAAAGAACACTTTACATAGAGAAAAAAATGTTTCCAACCCCGGGCAAGGGTGAAAACCACCCTTAATAATCTATTTTTCCAATTATCTCAAAAAGTATACGAGATACGGAAAAAAACTTCAAATGAAAATTGTAGATCTTTTTGAAATCTACAAAACATTATTCCACCCTCTTGCCCCTATTTTCAATAGGGGAGCCAATAATCGAAGTCAAAGATTCAATACTTAAAAAGTTAAAGTTAGTTAAAAAAGTTATCTTTGACTTCGATTATTGGCTCCCCTATTGAAAATAGGGGCAAGAGGGTGGAATAATGTTTTGTAGATTTCAAAAAGATCTACAATTTTCATTTGAAGTTTTTTTCCGTATCTCGTATACTTTTTGAGATAATTGGAAAAATAGATTATTAAGGGTGGTTTTCACCCTTGCCCGGGGTTGGAAACATTTTTTTCTCTATGTAAAGTGTTCTTTACTATCTTAAGAAACTTTTTAGCATAGTTCCAGCTGTTTGAGGAAAAACGGATTTCGCGACAATACTGACTGGACTAAGATTGCTGTTTCTATGTAAGGCCATTTGTGTTGGTTATGGCCTGTGCAGACGAAGGACTTTTGTCCGCGAAAGACAAAAGTCCTTCAATCGTAAAGAAAATTTCGGCCGAGGATTCCTCAGTCTCTATTTGAAAACATTTATCCCGAAAATTTTAAAAAGCGCACGCTTTGGAATTATATATTGACGGACGGACGCGACTCAATTTTTTTATTGAGTTCTGTTTCTTTCGGAGACACCCGCGTACTTTTGTCCTGTGCGGTCAATGAGTGTCCTCGTTTGTTTGGGGGAATATGTACGCGAGATTTCTAATACCTCGAGTGCGTTACTCTATGCAGCGTAAGCGATCTATGGCGACGGACAAATTCCCAGTCGCCTCCACAGGGAATGTCACCGGAGACAAATGGAATTAAAACTGAACGTTTATTCCCAGTCGCCTCCCCGTAGGCATTCTTCGTGGGGGCGACTGGGAATATACGTTCAGTCTGCGCAGGCTATTATTGCTACAAGGCAGCGATCCTCTGGCCCACACTGCAAAAGCCAATCTCTTTTTCATAATCTTTGCTTAGAATCTACTCGGCCACGGGGAAAACATATCTACCTTCCATTTTAGTCTCTCATACGCATTCGCCTCCGAGGCTTTGATGCGCATCTCCCGGTGTGGCGGCTGGGGAGGCTAATAACACAAAAATATATACCTTCCCAAAGGTATCTTCGAGAGCATTGTTTCTGACTTCGATGGTTCCGCCCAGATTTTGTGGCCCATTTCTGTCATGATGGCTGTAGGATTTACTGTATTGACCCGGATACCGAACGGTCCCAATTCTAAGGCCATCACTCGAGTTATCGAATCTACTGCTGCCTTAGACGCACAATAAACTAAGTGATCTTTAAGTGCTGCCTGAAAATAGTAAAATACACTTGATATTTAAAGTGATGGGCCCACCCTAGGAAAAGTCCTTAGCTGCGCCAATGAGCGAGGTAAGTAATATTAAAAAAAAACCGGTCAAGTGTGAGTTTGACTCGCGCGTGAAGGTTTCCGTGGAACAAACGGCGAAAGGAAAATATATTTGTTTGTTTTCGTCAGAACTTACAAAATACATTATAAATCGGCGTTTTCAGTATTTGTTGTTTAAATACAGCATATAGGACATTATATACTAAAACTTCACGTTCCTTACTATTTATAATTTTGAGATAGACCCCCGTAACAAAAGTGATCTAAAAATGACAACTTTGACGGCCCCCCATTTCTTCGTTATTGAAAATAAAAAATAAAGAGCTCTAGACAATGATGTGCCGCAGTTAGGGTAAAAAAGAAAAATATATCAGTTCTGTACCTCATTCCGTTACGATCTAGAGACAAGGTGACAGCAATAGGGTTCCATTTTTAACCTTTGAGTATGGAACCCTAAAAATAATCTAATGTCCTGCGCAGATGAAGGATTTTTGTCCGCGGTGGACAAAATTCCCTGAATAATGTGAAGAATTTTTTTGTAGAAGACTTGTCACAGAGTCGACGCACACGATGTGCGAACATCACAAATTTTGAGGGACAAATGATTCACATTTGTCCCTCAAAATTTTTGAAAAGCGCACGCTTAGAAAGTAGCTATATTCTAGGTACGTCGTGTTGTAATTAACATGAAGTTTAAGAAAAAGAGAAGACAAAAGAGAATGCTGGGTCTACTTCTTTAAATCGGATCGAGCTGATCGAGCTCTCAACGCGGACTAAAGTTCACTGTGTTGCTGCGCCTAGTCACACGTGTTATTTTTATCGGCGACTCCCGCGTACGTTTGTTCTGCCTCGGTGTCCACGGTTTTTCGTGGGATTTTTTGTACGCGATACTATCTGCCGTATGTTACTCGATGCCGTAAGCGATCTATTTCGGCGGACAAAATGTCCGCACACAAAAGTTCCTCGTCTACGCAGGCTATTAAGATGACGATACTTTAAAAGGCCAGTTGGCAAATCACTAGACCAATGAGAGAAAAAATTGTGGACTGGGGAAGCACGGCACGGCTCGTGTCTTCGACTGGAGCTAGAACATTTTAAATATTATTACTTACCTTGGAAGCTTGAGAAGACACGTTTACAATGGCGCCATTTATTTTATTCTCAATCATCTTTTTTGCGACGATTTGACTAACATTCATAACAGCTTTGACGTTTATGGAGATACTGCTGTAAACATAATGTAAATTGAGAGATATTATGTCGCATAATCCACGATTTGGTATTAAGTATATTATTTACTCATCAAAGCTCCCGGGTGTGGCTTCCAGAAAAGGCTCAATAATAGCCACGCCTGCGTTGTTTACTAGACCATCGAATGCTCCAAGGGAGTCTACTATTTCTCTAGTCTGTTCCCAGTTACGGAGGTCCACAGTAGCCACGTCTATACATGGATATTGCTGCTTTAGTTTCTTGAGATTTTCTGGTTGGTTTGATATTGCAACAACATTGGCCCCTTGTTTCCATAGTTCTGTTACTAAACCTTGTCCGATACCTGTAATTATTTCTAAGTTAATCTCTAGAAGGCACAGAATCATAGATTCTTGGTTTAGTGTTACTTTAGTCAGTCTTAAAAATAGTACCTTGACATCCACCTGTAACAAGAATTCGTTTTCCTTTAAACCATTTGTCCATAGTTTAAAACTCTCGTGGGGAATATATTTCAAAACAACGAATTAAATTTAATATGCCCATAAGTTGTATCAAGTTATAAACTGTTTAATTTTGTTCATACTCAAGCCAACCCAGATACCGTTTTGATAAGGAATAGTTTACGTAAATTATGATAACGTTCAATAATAAGAAGTTAAGTAATGAACATTATCACGACTGAGGCGCTCAACAACTATTTCTGGATAATAAAACAAAGGAATATTACTTATGTGACAATACCTACTTAAAAAAAACCGACTCGCGCACCGAGGGTTCCGTACAATCTCAATTTAATACCTCTACGCATACATGAGAAAAAAGGTAGTAACTTTAAAATTTACAAAAATATTTTTTATTATATGATGTAACTAAAAATTTACGGCTAAAACCGTAAATTTTTCCTTTATCTGTACTATAAGACGTTAGTTTGTACCAAATTTCAAGATTCTAAGTTCACGGGAAGTACCTTGTAGGTTTTGATTCCCGTGCGAGTTTCGAAAATTTGCGGCATAAACGGCTGTATATTTTGATTGCTTTGGCTTAGAAGTTTGATTTTTTCACAGCTCCAAGGGACAGTAGTCATGAGTATTCTGATATGAATTTCAGTTTGATACCTCCACGCGTTCCTAAGAAAAACGGTCTTGACAGACGGACGAACGGACAAAAAAGTGATCCTATAAGGGTTCCGTTTTTTCCTTTTGAGGTACGGAACCCTAAAAAAGATTATAAATACCTACATAACCTAAAAGAAATGAAAGCTTTTAGTATCGTACGTCCATGGATTAACCCATTATTCAGATTACCACAAGTTTAATAAATATTACACAAGACTTTATTGAGAAAGAATCCCTATAACTTATTCATTATTTTAAATTATTTCTCCATAAAGTTTCGTTCATACGGTAGGTACCTATAGGTACTGTTGTTGTTAGAGGCGTATTTCGAAATCTGGCGCCCCGGGCCATTTACCATTTGCATCCCGTTAAGCAGACGTCAATAAACAAATAAAACAGTGCATCAATACCGTTGAAACTTGTTTAATTTAAAAATATAACTTTTAATGCTGTTTGATCGAACTTTAATCTCATTATAATTAAAGCTCTCGCTCGGGTTAAGGTAGGCTGACTTATACTTATATTTCTAAATAAATTTATTTTTAAGTTTTCAAAGAGCAGATTTTGATAGCTTGCAATTACTAATTTGAAATTACATTTTGAGCGGTTTTGATTCATATCGATTCGAAATAATCTGTTTCATGAAATGATTCACCTAATTTAGTGGAGGTCAGACATTAAGATAGCTGCTGCAGTAGTTTTACGACCGAAGCTAGCCATTCTCAGTTTACTTCTCTAAAAGAAACATTTGCACGCAGACCCCTTTCCCAGTGGGCACTTTGGGCAAGTGCCCAGGGTCCCGCTACCGATAGAGGCCCCCTTAGATCAAATACAAAGTTCCTGTTAAATCACCAAACGGGGGTATAGGGACCCCATTATCCTAATATGCTCAGGGCCTCCAACAGTTCAAAGACGGCACTGCCCCTATGTATAGTTCGGTAACGATACTTTGATGGTTTCTGCCGCCCCACACGGCTCTTGCAGCCCTCATTTTATTGTTGGGAAAGAGCGTAATGCGTATGCCGCTCCTGGGTGAGAAACGGGGTTATGTGGGATTTCCTCTTCCCCCAAATCTCGCTCACCCGCTGAGGCAGTCCATAGGGAAACCCTCTAAAAACCCAACTGTGCTTCCTCGCCTGCCGGAGCGGGTTCATAAGATCCTGAGACTTCACGTTACCCCTCGCAGGCGCCCTGGGCCATGGCATTGCTTTTATTGCTGAAGGTATAATTATACAGTGATTATATTCAATACTTTTATTTATACATACATGATATTATTATACACACAGTAAAATTATCATTAGCAATTATTCTCAGTGAAGCATAATGAACAATAAATCAATGGCACAGCATTTAACAAAAAACATTATATTGGACTGTTCTTTGGTATTAAGTTTTGATCAGTTATAAAAATAAAATGACCATTTGAAGTCCTATTATATTATTTGAGATTTTATGTAGCCAGAAAGCCTCCATCAATAGGGAGTTCGACCCCATTGATCATACTTGATTTCTCACTGAGAAGGAATACTACAGCATTTACCACTTCAGAAACTTCACCAAATCTGAAAAAAAAAATGGGAAAAAAGCTTAATAAATAAATAAGATTTTAAGCAAAGAGGATAAAGGAAGTAGTTTATGAACTAACCTTCTGAGTGGAATTTTTGATAACATGTCTTTTGCTTTAGTTGGATCTGACCATCCAACCTTGGCCATTTCAGTCATTATTACAGTTGGATTTACAGAGTTTACTCTAATACCATGAGGGCCCAGTTCAAGAGCCATAGAACGAGTCAAGGCATCAAGAGCAGCTTTTGAAGCACTGTATATAGCATGATCTTGCAATGCAGCCTGCACATTAATAATACATTAATTCTCCAGTATGCCATAATTGATTTATATTATTATTTGATTCAGTTGGAGGATGTTGCTATAAAGCAAACAGATAAGCAATTATTATTTTATTAATATGGAAGCATTAAAAATGTGGTAGGGCAATAAATATATTCAATTATGTTTACTCTTTAAATTTACCTTAGATGCTTGAGAAGATATGTTGACAATTGCTCCATGTATTTTGTTTTCTACCATATTTCTTGCAACTACTTGACTAATATTGAGAACAGCTTTTACATTTACATCAAAGGTTCTGAAAGAAATATATGTACGTAATAATTAAAATTAAAAATATAATAAACATTCCATTTCTAGTAAATATCAAATTCTTATCAAACTATAACTTGTATAATGAAAATGGACTAACTGATGGTGACTTTTTATTAGATGTAAGAATTAAATAATACCTGTCAAAGTTAGCAGATGTTGATTGAAGAAATGGCTCGCAGCATGCCACAGCAGCATTATTTACCAATGCATCAAATTGTCCAAGAGATTCAATAACTTTTCTAGTTTGCTCCCAATCTCCAATATCTACACTTACTATTTCGATTGAAGGATATTCACTTTGTAGACTTTCTAAGTGGGATCGTGTTCGGGATAATGCCACTATGTTTGCTCCTGCACGCCACAGCTCTATGGCTATGCCGCGACCAATACCTTAAAATAGTTTAAATATGTTAAGAATACTGTTATAGGAAAGAACATGGTTTTGCACTATCAATGATCTAAGTATACCATATAATGGGTACACTTCGGCTAATAGAATGCGTTTTGCTGGCCTTTGTTGGTCCTACCTGGGCGGTTCAGCTACTACCACAAATACTAAGGGCCAAAAAGAATGATTGCTTCCGTGACCACACATGTATTTGAAGATAGGACCTTCGAAAGCCAACGAAGGGCCAATGCCGAATACAATAAGGCTGGCGTTCATTCGGTAGATGTGTATGTACCAATAGCTAAACAATAACACTAACCTTGTCCTGCACCGGTTACTAAAATTCTTTTGCCTTTAAATGAGATTTCCATTTTTGTCTACGCTTATTTTAAACTACCTAGCAAAACGTCCAAATATGGAGTAACATGTAAATTTATTCTCCTTTATCAAAATATCGCGTAAATTTGCGTCACACACAAACTTCACGTTGGTTATATTAATCCGTCCGTCATGTGAAAAATTAGCAACTTAGCATGCCGGCAATTCACTCGGCTCTTCGTGTTTCTATTTCTAAACTTGACACATCAGTCTGGCCTTTTCGTTTCATAAAAGCATGATGGACAGACTGGTTGTCAAGTTTACAAATAGCGAATATATGCCCAGTGAAGTGCCGGCGTAATACGAACTGACATTGTGAGTGTGACCAGATTATATTACACGAAAATACCTGACGTTTCACAAAAAAATGTTAAATCCGCTGACACTTGAGTGTCCACCTGTCAATGTCTCGTCACCTGTCCAAGTGACAGCGCGAGATCTAGTCTCCTTCTCTTCTACGCTATTCTCCCGTTAAAACATTCGTTGCAAAAACCATACAAGCTAGATCAAAATAAAAAATACCATTGTGTAGCCCAATTAATACATAATATACAGTTTGTCTGTAAAGTCGTGACATTGAATGATGGCGTCACTAGTATGCATGTAGCAACCCTATACAGTCGGACCAAAATGATTTTGATACTAGCAGTTCATTCAAGTAAAATAGGTAATTAATAAGACACACTATACAGTCGTATTTTGTTTCTGTTTTATATATAGAAGGTACCTATGCTTATAAAAAGTTTAGCCAAGCATATTTAATTAAATCAGAATAAAATTATTATAGATAAAATAGTATTTTATAGTGTAAAAGTGTGTAATGTTGGTGATTACCGCTGAGGTGCCGTTGAGACCAGAGCCGTTAGGTAATCATCAATACACACAAGATTCATCATACGACGTTTTTTAACACACTTGTTAAGAAAATAAACAATTTGTAAATGTGCAGTTAGTAAAATTAGTGATAGGTATCTTCACTAAAATAATACTAAAATTCATTTTATAGAATATAAAAAGTTTATTTAGAGAAACAATTTGTAAATGTGCAGTTAGTAAAATTAGTGATAGGTATCTTCACTAAAAGCATGCCATGGTTCTTTATGTGACCATTTCTTTCTTTGGTCGGCCTTGCCTGTTTTCTCAGGAGTTTCAAACTTTCCATCATTCTTAAAACCTTCGTTGACTACCCGATTTTCTGAATTTCCTGAAAATAAAAGTAAAAAAATTGTGCGTGTACTTATGTAGGCGCGTGAGAAGTTATCCTTCTTTGGCATCGTTTAAAATTAGTTTTTAATTGCATGCAAATAATTAATTGCAATAAATTAATAAAAAGTCTGGAAAAGGACACAGTCAATAAAGTTCAGTTTTAATTTGAAAAAAAAATGGATGCGTGTAACTCATGTACGCGCGTGAGAAGTTATACTTCTTTAGCATCATTAAAATATTTTTTATTGCATGCAAATAATTAATAATTACAATAAAATAATAAGAGGACTGGAAAAGGATAGTTAACACAGTCAATTAAGTTCAGTTTTAATTTGAAAAATTAAATAAATATTCAAAATATTCAATTAAAATCACTACTGAATTTAATTTATTAGTCCATATGTAATTAGCACTTGTAAGTAACTAAAACACGTTGTGTTCTTGACCTTCACAAGTGCTTTTAACAGCCTAGACTGAATAAAAGTCATTTCATTTCATTTCATTTCATTTCATTTCATTTCATTTCATTTCATTTCATTTCATCTCATCTCATCTCATCTCATCTCATCTCATCTCATCTCATCTCATCTCATCTCATCTCATCTCATCTCATCTCATCTCATCTCATCTCATCTCATCTCATCTCATCTCATCTCATCTCATCTCATCTCATCTCATCTCATCTCATCTCATCTCATCTCATCTCATCTCATCTCATCTCATCTCATCTCATCTCATCTCATCTCATCTCATCTCATCTCATCTCATCTCATCTCATCTCATCTCATTTCATTTCATTTCATTTCAATGTCCCGTTCAAATCTGCCCCACGGTCACTTGGAAAATAAAATATTACAAATAACGCGCCCGCGGCTAACTTCATTATGTTAAAATTTTTTGTTACAGTGATGAAAATTTCACTCTCATAATTTTTTCATAACGCGGCTAAAGAAGTATAACTTCAAAAATAATTAAAAAATAAATAATCAAAATATTCAATTAAAATTGCTACTGAATATAATTTATAAGAACATATGTGATTTGCACTTGTATGAAACTCAAACACGTATTCCGAATATACAAACTAGAAACATGTGGATAAATATTATAAATATGAATACCTATAACTGTTACTTTATTACAAAAAATAAAGATGTGGTTTTTGGTTCTACTACACCAATGGTCAAGAGATGGCGCTGTAGTCTCCTGAATCGCGCTTTGGTTCCGTTGTTCCAGATTAATAAATACTTTTGATAGGCCTTCACAATGCAGTCGTTAGCACCCACTAAATAGAGATTCTATTTCTATTTTGTTGGTAGATTTTCTTAATGTGGGGTAAACACAAAAGTAACGCATGAAGTTGGTCGCTAAAGCGACATAACATCATCATAATATAAATAAAATAAATAAATATTTCCAACACTCACACCAATTAGCCTAGCCTAGCCCCAAAGTAAGCTGTAAGGCTTGTGTTATGGGATGCTAGGGTAACGGATAGAATACATATACTGTACATATTTAAGTATATTTATATAGAAACACTTATTAAACATCCATGACTGGAGTACAAATGCGCGTATTCATCACACAAACATCTGCCTCCACCGGGATTCGAACCCGGGACCTCTCGAGTCGGCGACGCCATGAAACCCGGCCACTTGTTCGTTGTTTGACTGTTATCGTTCAATGATTAAAGACCGCAGGTGCCCCAGTCGCCGCGGTCGGCGGCTCCCCCCATAGCAAGTGCAAGCTACAAAGCTACCGATCCCTGTCTGCTCACGCGGACTGGCTTCTCTTCTAGAAGTCCTATGACCAGTCTTGGGCGAGAGAGGCAGTTGCTGGTGGCCTGATAGCTACTGAAGATCCGGATCAAATTATGCGAGCCTTGGAGAATAGGTCCGCACAGCTAGAAGTTATCGTTCTCCATCATCTCTCTCTGGTAAGGGCTTTACTAAAGCTAGGCCTGTACGAGTCGTATCGTCATTTAAATAATTTCGCTTGTCGTATTCGTAACTGTACCGAAGTTATACGCCTACAAAACCAGCCAGAATATCTAGCGCCGTCGGAACTTGTGTTATCGGTGCCGACAACTGGCATTTGCTGTTGCCTCAAACCGTATTTCTTGGAACCAAAGCTGAGCTAGCTGCAGTGCTCACTCCCCTGGGTTGGGCTTTTTTCGATAGAAGTCGATGAGTTTCATCGTAGTCCTAGTGACAAACGCGCTTTAGACATATTGGGGGAAACTACGGTGCGTTTACCTTCTGGTCGTCATAGAACGACCACTCCTTTGTTCATCCCCCAAAGTAAGGCGACCGCGTTTGAACTCGCTACACCAGCGGTAGATGGTTGCTTTTGAAGGTCCATCATCCATAAAATCAGTTCGAAATCGATCAAATGACTCATCAGGTTTTCAGCCACATTTAAAATCGTAAAAAATCATAGCACGAAAATGTTCTCGGTGCAGATCCATTTTTTAATGAGGCAAGAAAAATTTTATTGGCTCTCGAAAAAACTACTTTTAAATAATCGAAATTTTCAAAATAATTACAAGCGGCCAATGTGTTATACATAAAAACTTCTTTTTCGCAAAACTTTCTGAGTGGCCTGGTACATTAAATTCTCGAACTATAAACTCGTTAGATTCTAAATGATGTAGCAGAGAAGAGTAACATTTAACATCCCCGTTATAGTCTAGGGGAGATACCTACTTGCCTTCCAAACATTTATTTAGGTTTTTATTTTACTACTTTGTCGAACGGTGTAACTATTCAATTCGGTCTCGGTTCGGCGGACTTGTACCTTAATTTTGTTGTAATTACTTGTGTTTGTAATACGAAAAATGAACGATGATAATAGACCTCGATCGTCTGTATTATTCATTATTTTGATGATTGTAGCATATTCCATGTAAATTTACCTTTGTTTATTAGAGGCTGATGTCCTATGAAAGCAATTGCGGATAACAAGATGCAATTAAAATCAAATAAATCGCATTAACGCAAATTATTTACAGTGTATGCCTCAGAAGTCAATAACATTTGGAGTAGGTAATAGGTACTGGACTTGTGTGTGCCTTACAAAATGTTAAGACATTGCCTTACATTTGTACTAATACTAGTAGTTCCTGAAACCTATGCAGACAATATGGAAGTCGAATATGGCGGTGATAATTTTCCGTTAAAATATCTGTCGGTACAAAATAATGTAATTTCTTCAGATTTAGAACATTATATTAAATATCTAAGCATGGCCTTAAGCTATTTCAACGATGCACGAAACGACACAGATATTAATACCGCAACGGGTGCGTTTTTTTCAAAATGTAAGTGGCAGGTAAGTTATGCCTAAGCTTTTTATGAGTGGGTAGCATTCATTAGGATAGTGGATTACCTTGCCAATAATGTTGTATTCTTGATATACAATTTTATTTATTGTTGTCTTGATATGAAGTCGTGGGCACCCACTAGTTTGGAAATAAAACAACAACCTTTTCGACAACAACAACACATTGTTGTTGTCGAAACAACACCAGGCTAGTGGGTGCCCGCGATTTCATCTTCGTGGAAAATTTGGTTTCCCATAAAATCTTACATCCCCCTTTTTAACCCTTTTCAATGTCTGGGAAATATCGTTGGGGAAATGCCTTACGCATCCTTCCCACTGGGGGAGCGAGAAGAAGGTATGAGGGACTCCTCCCTGCCCACTTCAGCCAGCCCTAAGGCTCGCTGAAGTGAACAGGACCCTACCTACGCCCTGAACAGGGCCACTAAAAACCAGACAATACTCCTGCACCGGTCACCTGGCGCGCATTCTGAGTACAGCAGTCCCCGCAATGCGCGTCAGGAGTACGGGTGATATGCCGTACCCTGTTCGATTGGCCGCGCGATCCGCCTTTTTACCCTATTAAAAAATGATTTCTGAGATAAAAAAATAGCATTCTAAATCAGTTCAGTGGTTTAAGCTTGAATAGGTACCAGATAGACAGACATACTTTCGCATTTATAATATTAGTATGGATAAATATTGATTATGAAATAAATATATTTTTGTAGCTGTCTTGAAAAGAACGCTCTTAGATTATTCACACAAAATGATTAAGTTTCAAAAGGATATCATACGAATACTAATAAATATGAATGAAAACATCTTATCACATTACATGTACCAAAATCTTGGATACGGCTGGGATGATTTAGAATTTAGAGGTAAGTAACCTGGTAAGTAATTAATTACATGTTTTTATATTGATTTTATTGTCAAGTAAAATGCCTTAGCAAAATGGGTGCTTAATTATACGTGTATGTTTACGCAATAAACATTTAGAAATAGGTATTTTTTTATAGGAAAGCGCTAACAAACTAGTAAACATAAATATAGTTTCAACACACTTGCTCAAAAAATGCATTTACGGAGGTTGTATACATTGTTCGAAAGTTCAAAATTACTAGCCATACAACCGAGCGTGTGGTAAAACGTTTTACCGCACGCTCCCATACATGGCGCCATGCGGTGTCCTTTACGGTTTTTTTTAAATTTTATGTGTGACTCCATGGGAGCACTTTTAATCTATACATATATCACACTTTAATACTAAAAAGAAAAAGAGAATAAATATGTTCTATTTTTCACCACCCGCATGTGGCGCCTTTTGGAAACCATCATCATCATAATCATCAGCCTATTAATGGCCCCACTGCTGGAGCGCAGGCCTTCCCTATGGAAGGAATAGGGAGATTGGGCCATGACCCACCACGCGGGCGCAGTACGGATTCGCGGGTGCTAACGACTACAGATGCAGCCGAGACCAACAGCTTAACGTACCTTCCGAAGCACGGAAGAACTCGAGATAGATTTTTAGTCACCCATCTAATGACCGAACACTACGAAAATTCCAATGACAAAAAACCAATAACCGACCCTTTTCACCCTTCGATGCCTTTTCACCCTCCAATCCCTAGTCACCCTCCAATCCGTTGTCACCCTCGAATCCCCTTTTCATCAACCAATCTCATGTGATCATTTAGTTTAACAACTTTCTGATATAGATACTCCTCCTCTCGCACTCTAACCCGCAGCGCCGCTCAGATTAGAGAGATTCGTAAAAAAATTCGTAAAAAAAAATTCGATTGAAAAAAAATCGTAAAGAATACGCACGGCACCATGTATTTCGAACAATGTATACAACCTCCGTAAATACATTTTTTGAGCAAGTGAGTTGAAAAATATTTTTTCCTAGGGTCTTCGATTAATTACGTGTCTGTATTTACATAGTAGGAAAGGTTAAATTTACAAGTGGATGTTTGATGAAATAATGTCTTTCTCTTTATAAGTAGCAGAACTACTACTTCCTTTTTTAAGTTAACTTGGTATAATCACTACCTAATACTGCCTATTTAATTTCATCTATTCTAATGACCACTGCTTTAATACATAAAAACTACTTTAAGTAATGAAAATATTCTTTTAGCATCCAGAATTTTTCTATTTGACGATTCGCAAATTTATTCAATTGCTGAATTCAACAGAAATCTACTAAAAGACTGGATCTTATCAAAAGAAAACAAAATTCATAATTATACAGAGGAAATGGATACAGCTACTCTACTAAAAGAGAAATACGGCAAATTGACTTATGATTTTAAAAATTATACTATAGATATATTATCATCAGGTATGTAATTACTTTTAAGTTGTACTCATTGGATTTTAATATTTTTTTCCAAAATTCGAAAAATAAATAACAGCATTTACTGTGTGTCTACCTACTTATCTAAAAAAATACATATTGTTTCTGTCTTTGCAGACTTTTGTCTCGCTGTTGTGGCATATAATAAAGAGTCAATAGACTTTAAACAGTTACAAAAATGTGAAGATAATGCTTATTGTGAAGAACGTATATTCTCAAACCCGTCGATTGGGTACAGTTTAAGTCATAGGTAATTCAAGTAAATATTCATGGATGAAATTTAAATTTTTAATTTAATAGCAACAGGATTATTTCAACATGATATGTTGTTAACTAAATCTTGGCAATAACATTTACCAAAAAGAAAATCGGATTCCTAATTTGAGAGCTCACTGTATGTCTCTAGTCTGAGAAGTTTTCTGATAAGATACTATATAAAATAGCTGCTTCGATGGCCACACTAAGATTATTTCAACAGTTAAACTTTTGAGTAAGTTCAATGGAGTAAATGAGGTCCAATGGGCACTTTTTGCTTTCGGATCGAATCTTGAGGGTCCAGTGGGTACAAGACTGAATAAGTTTAGATGTGGGTTCGAATCCCAATGTGCAGGCAGGTAATGTGAGGGTGATTAGGGAACTCAATATTTTGTGTAAGGTATTTACTCCTTAACCGTAAGTTTTACTTTTAACGCAAATCTTTATAATATAGTAATCTTTGGTTTAAGTTTTTTTTTTTAATAGCAAAATGAGTTTTTAATACTTTTCCATGTAATGTTTTTACAGACTCTTGAATGCTTATTTACGGTTCTCTACAAAAAGATGTTACATCAGATCCGAGGTAGAAGACAAGAAACTTATGGACCAATTATGTGCAAATATGTACAGAGAATCAGTATATTTGGCTCGCCGTGGATATTTTGCTCGCGATTTATTCTTAGAGCATAGTAAGTGTAAACTTGTCTAAAATTAGTATGACTTATTGACTTAGGATGAGTTGCACTAACTTACTTTAATTGTTCAGTTAAAGTACTGCACCATTTGACGACAGTCAAAATGGTGCCATAATTTGACAGTGACGATAACTGTCCAAGCGAAGTCAGTTAAAGTTATTGTCAAATTTAACTTTAAATAGCTCTGTGGTGTTACTCAGACGTAAAAAATAATAGATAACTGATACCTACTTAAGAAAACCATGACCTTTTGAATTTTTGTTGTTTGTAAATTTCAATTATAATGAATTCTAAATACTTACTTGTAAAATCACATTTGTTTTTTACAACAGTCAATAATTATTTATTCAAAATATTTAAAAACATAATAAGGTAGGTACTTTAAATAACCTTCCTAGTACCAAATATTATGGGAAAGTATTTGTATATTGTTAATCATAAAACTTTCAGTTGCACTTTGCGGTCTACTGGGTTACGAAGAATTTTATAGACGACACTGGTTTTACAAAGCAACAAGTTGGGTTAAAGAAGCAGGTTGTGTAGCTGAAAATAGAAACTTTCTTATTAACATTACCGATACGGATTACAGTAAGGTAAAAGACGTGAGAAAACGTCAGAAATATCGGAAGTATGACTGTGAAATGTTGAACTACGAATGCCATGATCACCCGACTGCTGTACTTTTAATAGTATTAGCTCATGCAATCAGATACGCTGCTCATATCATGACGTCAGTTTTGTGAAGATAATTTTGTTTTTAAATATCCTTACATTCATGATCAACTTTGACATTAAAGTATTAAAATAAAATTCTGTATTATTGTGTAATTTTTTCATTATATTATCAACATTTTATGTAAAAAAATAAGTTAAGAACAATTTCTTGACAAATAAATAAAATAAGTCTTAGACATAATTTTTTTATATAAATAAGTATAAGTATTACTGAGGCATTGTTCTGAACTTGAAAAGTCAAAATTAATTAACATTTGTACTTAATAAGATTTACTTTATCATACCAATGTTAAAATTACACGGCTGAATGCTAAACAAGCTAGGATCGATTAACCTTTACCTAAGTCCTGAACATGAAGATGACAAAAATATAAAAAAAACATATATATAAAGATTTTCGCTTGTTCGCATTATCACTGTATTATAGGCATCGTAATAATCTTTAGTGTTGAAGTCAATTTAAAAATAAAATTGAGATACATACCAAATTTAACTTCAATAACAACACAGTCATCATCATATTTTTTTACACATTATACATCCTTAGGTTTTAGCTTATACTCTGATTCATTTCAGCACTGAGTGTGAATTTACTTATTTTATAGGATTCGAGAGATGCTGTCATCAGTGAAAACTGTACTTAATAGAAAATTTACCGTGCATGAGAGACCATACAAGTAAAATAAACTTACGCAGTAGACGTTATTGTATGTAAAATTGCTACTGCGCAGGCTTTCTTCTCTATGGTTGTTGCTCAAGAAGTTTGCCGGGATATATATACAAAATACACGTACGCACATAGTAGTTACAGTCAAATATTTTCGGTAAAAGCTTTTAGTTGGGTACCACTATATTCCTTAAGATTAATAATTATTTTAGTATTTACATTAAAGGCAGTTTTTATATTCATAACGACTAATATCTTTCTAAGTTTAATTAACACAATTACATTTTTTTTAAAGGTCACTTAAAGAAACTATCTCTCTTTATATTCATAGATGAAATCGGTATAATATATAATAACGACAAAACGTAAGCTTTAAATAAAGCTACATCCGAAAGATTGCTAGTTGTTAATTTTAATTATTATTAGCTAAGTTTTTAACGGCCCTTTGCACCAAAACCTGTTTTAAAATTATATTTAAGATAGTTTAACAGATCATTTCATTATTTTACATCAATCCAAAGAGATACAATGAATTTTAAATAATATCTTGTTTATAATTTCGTATAAGAGTTTTGGTGCAACTGGGCCTAAGAGAGATTCCTTAATACCCAGTTTAGTAGCAAGCAGTGCAACGTTTTTATTGATCATACAATTATTGTAGAGTCGTTGTTTCGAAATGTTTCAATTTCATTTTTCATGTTCTGTTTTCGATGTGCATTGGGTTTCTAACGTTTGTATGGTGCTTTTCTGTATCTACCGCGTTCTTCCTCGTCGCGGACGTCAAGGTAATGGCTGAACACAACCACCCAGAGGTATAAGTAGATACCTGAAAATAATAAAACACACTAAATGAAACAGACTATGGAACAAACAGATTACCTATATACATACACACGAAGCGCAATCATAATAAGGCTGTTTACAACGACACTTTATAATTATACAGGGGGTCCAACTAGTGACATCAATAATTTTTTTTAGATTCTAAAAGAAAATTGTTGACGTCACTAGTTGGACCACCCGGTATAAAAGACCAAAGAAAACCTAATGTAGTACTAGTTAGGTACCATGATATACTCGTAGTAGTAACACATATGAAGTATAGATTATTACGTATAAATACTGATTGATACTGTATAAGCCGACTAAATATATGTAGGTACGTATAATTAATAGTGTCAGGCTCCAGCCACTACAAAAATTTTAAACAGTGCTGTAGAGCTTTTTCTAGTAAATTCTGTCGAGAACTTAAGCATTATGTATGTTCATAATTTTTCTGTTTATTTGTCCTATTAGTGGCATTGAAAGTATTTGCTTAATTTGCAAACATTTCAACTGCCCATCGAATACGGTTCAGGAAATACAGACTGATGATGGACAGTGCCGATGAAGTAACCGTTTGAGTTATGGAACTTATGAGAGGTAACACAGTAAAATAACACTCCCTTTTCTGTCAACGTAACATAACATGGTGTTGTGTTTCTGTCGGTGAGCAAGGTTCCTGTCCCCGTAGCATGAGCACCACAATTGACGTTTTCATCGCGTCTAACTGTCAAACTCCATAGTAATTTGAAAATTGAGCGTTGCGGTAGGGAATTGGTTCAGAGTAGGCAACGGTGCAAGTGATATTTTTGGTATCGCAAGCATCTTTAGCCTATGGTGGCCGCTTATCATCAGGCGGGCCACACGCCAGTTGGCCACCCTTTTATCATAAAAAAGAAAAAAATAAACCAGAAAAGGGAACTTACACAGATAAATAATTCCACCTATGAGTATGATAGTGGCCAGTATATTGTAGTTGTACTTCTCCTCCTCATCTTTGGCATCGAAGAGGTAGAACGATATGGAGGTGTGAAGTACGCTGATGAGCAGCCCTATCGCCAACACGATGCCCAGGACCACCCACGGTAGCATCAGCCACGATCTTCTCTGAAACATGAATTAACATTGAAACAAATATATACCTAAGCTGCAATTATGAAAAAGGAAATATTCACTGATTTCACAAAAAAAACAAATATGCTATTTCGTTCTTAACCCTAAAATATTAGTGCAAACCCCTTAGCAATGTTACTAACTAGGGATTTTTCTCGTAAATTAAGCAAGAAAATTAATTAATATACTGTACCTAGTAGGTATATGAACAATGAAAGACATATACCACCAATATGATACGCTAACTTACCGAAAAAGAAGTCTGGGTTGCAACAAAGAAGGAAAATGATATAATTAGAGACAATTTGTTAGAAATGTTTCGTTAGTAAAACCAAGAAACAAAAAAGAATCAAGAGTTCTCAGTTCTATAATAAAATGTTTTTAATTTGAGAAAAAGAAAGCGCGTGAAAATTGCAAAATTTTATAAGTATCTTCACATTCGGAACCCATGCAGATAGTAACGGCTGTACTTATTTTTTTTACTTATATATAAAATGTGAATTAAATTTAATATTTTTTTTATCACCTGTCGCCTTATTCTTTTCTAGCAAGAGCAGGCAGGCGGCAATCATGGTGTGGATTATTTAAGTAATGGGTTATCTACTTGTGTTACGTAGCTTAACGTGCATAGAGGTAAGTGAAAAGGCAATAGAAATATGTGATTTTTACAAATACCTCCTATAAATAATAATTTCAAATGTGAAAGTGAATAATTAATTACCTTTTTTACTGCGATGATGAGGAGACTGCATATCAGTATGGTGAAGCATAAATTAATGGTGATGATGATCCTCGGAACTAAAAGAAGAAGAAAAAAACACTTTTAGTTCACACACATTTATCATATTTGGTAAGTATTTAACTTTCTTTACTCGTACTTTAAGTAAAGAGTCTTTGAAAAAAAATATACAATTACATGTTGTGTACAATGTTTACAATCAGTGAAGGAAATCAGCTGATCTGTAATTAAAGTAAAAATTCAAATAAATGATTTGACGTAGTTAAATAAACAACTTTGTTGTTTTAGTAACAAGATGTCAGAGCAACAGGCCATGGTTAAAATGTTAACTTACTGTCATGTGCTAATAGTTTTTTGTCAAAGTCTTCGCCAAATATGTAAGTCTTGAAGGCAACTGTGTGCCTTTCTACGACCCAAACAGTGATGATGGTGGCAATGGACAGCACGATACCCATCACAGCAGTGATGAGGGTACCTGTCCTTGTGCTGGCACAACAACACTTCTGGAGCCGCTTCATGATGATATTATTTTATACTCTTAACCGTTGATAGATGATAGAATAGCTTGCGATCTGCTGCGATTCACGGCTGCATTTCTTCTGTAACAAAACGTTTTTAATTGGATTGGTTTGCCAAATAACTATATATATATTAACAAGTTTAAATGCAATGAATAAATATTGGAATAGATGCCAACTGATCTAAGTTCAATATTAGTAGGCATATATTAGAGAAATGTTGTGATATAACAAATAACGCGTGGTCGATGGTTCCATAACTTTGGTGGTTCAAGTTCGCATCTCCAGGCTGCCTCTTCAATTAATTTTAATGTATTTATTTGAGCGAGAGTCGCCTTGAGAGTGATGTAATGAAATAAACAACCATTTTGCAAGGTAAGTGAAATAAAATTCAAGCGTTCTCCGTGTGTGTGTTCAATGATCCTACTGATAATATAAATGTGAAAGTTTCATTGCTGGACGGATTTGAATGAAATTTTGTACGCATGTAGTTTATCACCTGGATTAAGCCTATATAAGTCGTATAGGATATTTGTTATCCCTAAAGGTTTCTGAGGTATTCTCAAATAACCGAAGTTAACACGGACAAATTCGCGGGTGGCCGCTAGTCGCATCATGAAGATAAATTAACTTAACTAGCGTCGATTATTCCAATAAATTTTATCAGTGCTGTATATTTACTTAAACAGTTAAGATAGCATGTACTTCATTCTACCCTCAAATGCGTATTAATAATTAAACTAAAGTTTTATTATGAAATAATTTTGAATATTTTCTTAAAAACTTATCATTAAAGAATTATTTTCGGTGATAAATACCGATCGAACTCCTCAAGGAAAAACTTTTTATTTTAAACCATAAAACAAAACATATGTGTACTTATATATGTATCCGTATATGTATTCTATCCGTTATCCTAGTATCCCATAGCACAAGAATACGGTGCTTACTTTGGGGTTAGGCTAATTGGTGTGTGTGTGTTGTTATTTATTTATTTGAAATATTTAACGCAGGAGCACATTCAGATTCTGTTTAGTGAAAACGGCTTTGTTTTTCTAATTCCTTTTTTTTGTTAAACGTCTAAGTAATCTTAGTTTCAATACCCGAGTTCCGGAACTGTGCCGGTGACGTGGGCGGTCAAATTCGACACGACCGTTATGTTTCGAGCTTTTAGACAATTCCCATTCGTTTGCTGTTCACACGGAGACCATGTGAAATGATAGTCGGAAACGCAATCTTGGTAGGCCTGTTTGTATTTCCACTTAAACATTAAAGTTTGTTAAATTTAACCTTTGTATCTATGCCAGTGTTCTTAGAGGAGAATAAAACCATTTACTTAGGGGGGGGACAACTGTATTTTGGCAACATTGTAATATTCATTCACGGTATTATGTTAGATGGTGTAATCAATTGTATTTATAATCTATTACCATTTTTTTACGAGTGCAACGATTTAATTTACTCGAATAACTATAAACATAGCAGTAGCTTCATAAAAAAACAGTGTTTGAGTGATTCAATATATGTAAAAGAATGGAAGTACTTAGGTGTTGTTTAAAACTGAAGCTTGCTAAAAAATTAGGAGATTTTTAGGCATATCATATTATGAATATTTCAGCATCCGCGTGGCAGAGGATAACTTTATTAAAAAGGATTGTGTTTAAATACAGCATATTTCATACTTATTTCACTCACAGCTCACAGAACCTACTTGCTCAATGTTTATTTTAATTTCATTTCTTTTTATCATATTCTATATTTCTAATAACATTAAATTCAAATTTAATGTAATCATTGCTCGTCCAGATTTTATTTCGGCTGTTGGTAGTTATGTTACACGTGCTTAGTTACGCAAGGTTCGTAGTTAATAGATGACAATGATTTTGTCATACGATTCTACTGTTCTACCGACTTTAACCTTGAGTTAAATGGGCTCTGTTTATGAAGTCTAATGAAATAATTAATGCACAGATATTAGAATTTATTTCACTAGTCGTTTAATGTATTTTCAAATAACGTATAAGATCTTTACACTTAAGTTACTTTATTTATTAATAAACTAGCGAACTCCCGCAACTTCGTTACTGTTATGAACACAGAACACAGAAACCTAACATTTTTCGAGGACAAATCAATGAATAAGTAATAATCATAAATACTTGTATGCCAAAGGACATTGTTCAGCGTCCATACATAGTTAGCCTAAGAACCAACAATCATGAAATATTATTTTCTAGGTTCAAAATCGTAAGTAAATGACTGTAAAAACAAAGATTATTGACGGACACTTCTGAGAACTTAAATTATTAGGAAAACTAAAATTTTTTTGAGGTTATGTTTAATATTCAATGAAACATAGGTCAACCTATGAATTTAGTAGGAACTCAGTATGAAGTGAATTAATATTACAACTAATTCATCTTATTCGGTGCGATTTTAAAGAATAACTATTAGGAAAAACTTGGTTAGGTAGGAATCATGAATAAAATAAAAACTGTAGTTTTGCTTCTTATTTATTGACTATTTTTCACATAATTGTATCGTTGTTTATTGTATTTATTTGTATATCACATGTAGGTATATTGTGTAAATATGCGGCGTGAATGTGTGTATCAGGTGTTCTTGAATAATTTGGCAGTATGATACTCTCAGGATGTTGTGGCACAGGTTCACTAGCACTTGGTAAGAAGGGCTCTGCTCTTTGGTAACATCGATGACATATTAGATAGCCGAAATAGTTAAATTAAAGGAAAAACAATCGCAAATAAACACACACAACAGGTAATCCGAAACGAGAATGCGCTTTCCGGTATATTTAACTACTCTTTAGAATGCACGAATGCCACAGATTACTATGAATGCAAACTGCATGCATCACAACCACAGAGTAACGAGTTTAATCCCGGCCCTTCACTTGACAACAGTTTGTCCTTGTCATGCTTAATAAGGAATGAAAAGGACAGGCTGATGTCATGTTTTAAAATAGCAAATACGAATATCCAAGTGAAGTGCCGGCATTAGGAAGAAAGTGTGTTTTCTTTGCAGCGCTGCCATAGATTATACACATAAAATGGTATTTATTGTCTCAGATTATTTTTTAACTTCTTAATTTAGCTTACTTAACTGGAAGTGTCCGTTACAATCTAAGTACTGATAATTATCGCAAAAAATATACTAAGAATTATCATAAATGCCAAATTGGTGTTGGTTCTTAGGCCAATTTTAACATTGTCCTTTCATGTAATTCTGTTTAGCCGATTTAGCGTAAAAAGTAACAAACTTCTAAATAATAATTATTATTTAAAAGTTAATAATAGTAATTAGGTATTAGTAGGATTGTATTGCTAAAGTTTTATCTATAAACGCATAACACTATCTTCTTGATCAAAACTAACGATGCGTGGCATTTCGAAAGTATGTGAGTACCTACGCCGCGCCCGTGGGAGCGAGCGAGCGGAGCAGAATGCCTGGATCAATTGGGAACAGATGGGATTCTTTGCGTCCAGTATTAGAGATATAGTAAATTGGTTCAAAGTCAATTCAAAGTGCAACAGATTCTTACGAGAATATCGTGAACATTATATTCATTAAAGAAGGATTTTTCCCTATATAGGTACTACGGACATATCCATAAATCGATTGTCCATTAGACACCTGTTTGTATATAAACATTATTTTAAGAAGCAATTAACGAAGGAAATCAATAACTGTTAATTTCATTTCAAGATCATTTAAATATAAATTTGTCAATGGATGCCGGTCGACTTGGCAACGTGTGTTATGCGGTCATTAAACAAATGAAGGTCGCGAAATAGGTATAACATTCGTAATAAGTTCACAACACAAATGAGATTTCTGATTTACTTATTATTATATCGAATAGTCATTTGTTAATAGAATGCTTTGATTGCCTTGATATGCCTTATTATAATATTTTACATTAACCAATTCATAGATTGATATATTTTTCTAATTGGCTCAAAGTTAGTAATTGTAAGCAGCCGCAATAAGAGACGCAAATTGTAATTATTTAAGTAATTAATTTAATTTCACTTTTTTTCTCTTTGTTATTATAAATAATAAGTTTAAAAATATTGCCTGGAGGTACGTGATTACTAAAATATCCTAATCAAAATTAATAGGCAGGCACCTAATTGTAATGTTTTCTGTTTTAATTATAACGTAAGTTTGTATAGGTATATATTCGTATTTAGCTTTATACCGCCGTTCGCCATTTTCCCCAAAGGTTGACTGGGAGAGAATGCTTTTAGCACTAAGTCCGCCTTTTGCACCATTATTTATATTTTGGTCAAAAAAGTTTAAAATAAATAAACAAGTTCATAGACCTGAAAGTGTTCATAGATTGTATCAAAACACCGCAATGAGATATAGGCGTGTCCATGCCGCAACTATCTTACAACCCACAAGTGCTATCAAACGCATTCTGTCGCATCGGGCCCCTCTAGATCGTTATCATCACTTGAGTACTTCTGCTACTAAACAAGCATTCGATATGACAGATAACATAATACTAGGTTTACAATGTAGTTCTGGCAGTAACATAATGAAATAAATCTGTATCAAACATATAAATATTTATTTGACATACTTATAGTACTATTTTACGTCATAACAAAGCCCGTTTTCCACCGCCAAAGAGGAGTGACCTAAGGATGTCTAGCGGAGCGGTCTTTGTATACATTCAATTACATTCATACAATTCAATCAAATTTATTTATTGTGTAATGAAACAAGGTAACAAGATCTTAATGCTTAGGTACAATAGGTATATAAGTGGCGACTCATAACTGGATCCCGCAGTTACGCCTGGAGGATGAGGGGTAGATCGGGGAGTTGGTTTACCTGGTACGGGAGCTGGTCGGCTGGCTAGCCGCTCGGACTGCGGCCCGTGAGATTAGTCTGTGACGCTGTGAACGAAGAAACCCAGGATCGGCTAAAGCGGGTGCGGACGGGTCTGACGGTCGGAGACGGGGTGGTTTGACGTATGCCACGCTTGCGTGCACTCAGCACGTCAAAGTATAGCCGAACCGACTAGCGGCCCTTGGACTGCTCCCCGCTTG